AATATTTTTAGGCAACTATGCAGATGAATAAAACGATCAATTACGCTTGGTTTGCGCCACCAATACCTTCATTTGCATCCCTCTCGTTTTTCAGTTACAGCGGAGTCCCAGTAATTCGATGAGATTAGGGGATATGCGTTAGGAATGCATTAGTATGTATTGTTTATAAGAGACCTAAAACTATTAAGATGTTATTGAATTAAATTAATTATCATGCTCACCAGGAAAGATGCCGAGCACAGAACACCTGATTCCGGTCTACAATCATATGTTTTTCTTATTTAACCAACCAATTGTGGACCGTTCTCAGGTGTTTTGTGACCGGCATTCTTTCGCGATGAGAAGGCCTTACACAATGCACAATTTTTTTTTTCAAATTTGACGTTTTTTCCCTGTGATCGTTTGAGCTTTGTTTGCTACCCGCATACCATCGTTTGACATTTTCCTGTGATCATTTATGCTTTAATTGGGTCCCGAATTACTTCATTTGCACCCTAACCGTTTTTTAAATTATTCCAAACACAAAATTCCATACTGTCCCCACCATTTTTCAAATTTGACGTTTTTATCCCGTGATCGTTTGGGGTTGGTTTGTGCCCCGAATACGTTTGTTTGCGTCACCATCGTTTTCAGTTATTCCAAATACCAAAAAAATTCCATATACATACTACCCCCTCCTCATCTTTCAAATACCTTCCTTGGTGCCACCACCGTTTTTTAGTAATTCCAAATACAAAATACGATACTGTTCCTCCATTATTCAAATTTGGTTTTTGATGGGGGTGAATACGGAATTTCTGCCGTTTGAGACTAAATATAAGAAGAAAGTGTATTTTTTTAAATTTAATTGAATGGGGGTTTACAGTATAGTTGAATTCCGCAGTTCTAATTTAATAAGCGTGTACCTGAAACCATAAAACATTTTTTTGGACAGTAAAAGTTTATTTAAAAATAGAGGCTGATTAGCAAAAAAAATAATGAACATGTGCGGTTTTAAAGGTTTATTCAAAACGATATGATTGTGGCGGGCTCTGTGACGTAATACGCCCGACCAATCAGCTCCTAGAACCATTCAGATGACATAACGACTTGGCAATGGGTGCGTTCACCAGAACCAAACGTGTTTGCGCTTTGATTACGTTTGCAAACACAAACTGTTTAGGCGCAGGTGAACGATAGGGTGCGTTTGCCAGAACCAACTGTTTGCAAACCGTTTGCGCTTTTTAGATAAGTACGTTTACTGAACGCGTTGCTAGTTGTTAAACTGTTTGCAAGCGGACGCCATTTTTTGAATCGCAATTTAAACTCGCTGAAAATCACAAACATGTTTGTAATTTTGTAAGGCATGCATATTTGTTTAAACCATCGGCATATAGGTTTATGCGCGAAATTGGAGTAAATTACTAGTACGTACGTACATCACGACCAAAAATTGGATAATTGCATATTGCACACAATGCGCTTTAAAGTTGTAAGAGATAAATCGAATAATTTAATTATGAATGAAGAAGGGAGCATTCCATGTATGCAGGCTTATTCAAATTAGAGGGCCACCATGGGGATCTCGGGAACTGTAAGAAATAGAGGTTGGCAAAGTTGAGTAGTTTGATACTTAACAAAATGTCGTTTTGAAACTGAAAAAATTCCGACTACTTTCGGAGATATCCAGAAAAAAAATGACATTTTACAAAATCGTTTTTATTTGTTACCTAAGTTATTTAAAAAGATATTTCAAAATAAACGGCCCATAATTGTGCCCACTTTTTTTCCATATACAAGATGCTAGTTTTAAATTTTTAGTCTGACGTTTCGTCTCCGTTTAACCATCATCAGCTTTGTTTTTTCTTATGGAAGTCATTTTTACTTTTTGTGTCATTTGATAGAGCTTTTTCCTATCAATAAAGGGTCCTGTTAATCCGTAAAAACGCAAGAAACTGCGAACGTACACTGCCCACGACAAAGTTCCCAGACAAGAAAAGAAGATATTTTAATAGTATTACTTCAGCCTCCCTTTGACGAATGTCAAATTTGAAATACTCGGCGAGTAATAACTTTGTGAATAACTGTGTGAAATCGTTCCACACCAAACTTCTCTTCGAATCTAATTAGGGTACATTATTCGTATACTAATAATTAACACAAGTATCTATAACCTATAACTGATACTGGCTGAGTGCTCTCGATTTCATTTGGACTTGTACTGACCCCTTCATATGCGGTTTATGAAGGCTCCAAAACGGCACGAACGATTTGCTCGTCTCCTAGTAGATTGCTGGCCATCAAACCCTCCCTTGCAACACTATAACCACAGATTATACGTCGTATATCTGTGCTATAACCAAAGAGTAACCATAATTGCTATAACCAAAGAATGGTTACTCTTTGCTATAACTATACGTTTTTCACCTATACAAATCTTAACTCTCCTTAAAATGACTATACTTATGTGGCGAGTTTATTAAATTTATTAAATGTAACAATCTGAAAATAAAAACTTCTCATAAAGCAGGTACAATTTATGGATAAAAAATATTTACTCAAGGATCCAGTGAATATGCATTTAATACTCCAATCTTGATTTTCTATAGGACAATTCAATTCATCTCGTATAGCAGGATGTATTTAAACTGTAGAAAGGTTGCCATATTTTTATTGAAATGTACAAAAAGAATACAAAACGGTTTTCTCAAAATTCACTCAAATTAAATTTGACGTGTGGTTTCCAGGCAAATTGCGCGCTTAGAACAAATGCGCATGCCCGATCAACATGTTTGTGATTTTCAGCGAGTTATGATTAAAAAAATGGCGACCGCTTGCAAACAGTTTGACAATTAGCAATGCGTTCAGTAAATATGCTTATATAAAAAGCGCAAACGGTTTGCAAACAGTTGGTTCTGGTGAACGCACCCAATATTGCGTCATCTGTCACAGGCACTTGTCACTTTCGTGCTAGATGCAGTTAAACATCCCTCTCAAAACGTCAAATGTGACAAACGTCAGACCCACTTCTACTTCTACGTGATTGGTTGTAGGTTTGTGACGTATTTAGTCTGAAGCGTTTCAAATTCGGACTAAAAACACATCTTTTCAATAATTTATTTTGGGTTTATTTTACTCGCAAATAAAAATTGAGGAGACACGGGTCTTTTTATTTTTAATGTACTTTGTGGATCAGAAATAAAAAATGAAGGCGGGATGACCCCATTGAGGGAATAATTTTCCAAAAGTTTGTTGGTCATTGCCATTGTGCTAGGACTTCCCCCTTACACCTGGTAATTTTATTTACAGACCTGCGCCCTCGGCACTACCTGGCCTCCGTCCCCCCAGAACGGGCCTGATTATGATTCCTCCGAAGTGAAATGTGTTGAAAATCTCACAACTGTGTCTTGTATAGAGCTCAAAAAGTATCAATGAGAATTTTTTAAAATTTTTTTCCCTCCCTTAAGACAAAATTTGATGCCCGTCTGGCACACCTTCAATGTATAGGCTACCTGTTGCAAAAAATTCCAGGGTTTAGGACCATTCCCTTAAAAGTAGTTCAAAACCGCGGAAGTGCGTCGGACAGACAGACCAACAAAATGCAAACAACAACACATTTTTTTTAATTCTTAGAAAAATGCGCTAAAAAGAATTAGTCTGATACAACAAACGGTTTTTAAAAATTGTAGACAAATTTAAAGACGTGTTGTTACCGCGTTTCCTACTCTGATCTCCACCACCCGTCGGCGCGTTTTGAATGATTATGGAAAAAAAAGAATTTGTAGCATTTTTGGAATGAGTTGAACAACAATTGTACCAGTTTGGCGCAGAAAACATGACATTGTTTTAATTACAGCCTGTGTGGTTCAATGTAACATCGCCTAAGGAACATACGGTAGCTTATGACATTACAATGTGTGTACCAAATATGGCGGGTCAAGAAGCGAGACAGTTAATGACGAAAGCGTATAAGGCAGCTCTGTCACTGCAGCAACAGCAACAACTACTGAATGAACTGGATAATGATTCCAAGCTGGTTTACCACATTGGTTTAACTCCTTCCAAGGTGCGTACGTCGATATACAACAATTCAAAGTGTTTTCCAATGTTTTTGCCACAAATAAATTCTTCTACTTCAGTTGAATTTGCCATTGTGTATTTTAACATTTAAAATGAATGTTTAACAGATTTACATTTATTTACACAATGCTTCATAATAACAATAGAAATCAACAATTTATATCATGCCAGGGCTCGAACTGACTATCCCAATTGAAAACTAATAATTTCAGCTTCCAGAATTGGTCGAAAACAATCCATTGATAGCAATAGAAGTGTTACTAAAGTTAATGCAGTCAAAACAAATCACAGAATACTTTAGTGTGCTGGTTAACATGGAGATGTCCTTGCACTCTATGGAAGTAGTAAACAGACTTACAACAACTGTCGATTTACCAACCGAATTCGTACACCTATACATCTCAAATTGTATATCGACATGCGAAACAATCAAAGATCGTTATATGCAGAACAGGCTGGTAAGATTAGTTTGTGTTTTTTTGCAGTCGTTGATACGAAATAAAATTATTAATGTTCAGGTGAGTCTTGAACGTTTTTCGACTATTATTCAATGGAAACTTTTTGCAGGAGTTGTTCATTGAAGTTCAGGCGTTTTGTATTGAATTTAGTAGAATACGTGAAGCGGCTGCGCTATTTCGGCTATTAAAGCAGTTGGAGTCTGGGGAATTGGGATTGAGTATGTCACCGCCTCCTAGTATGAAAGGGAAGTTGGAGAGCTAATATTCTCTTTTAATTGTTGACATTATGAGGGAAATATACATAGGTATATGTATGGTACTGAAGCTTTTTGGTATCTTGAACCGAACTAGAACTGTGGGCACTTAATAAAAGAATATTTTTTCTACAATTTGTTTTAATTGCAAAAATTCGTATGTATAAATTATAATTTTTAATTTAAGAATTTTAAAATAAAAACATCTAAGTATACTAATTAATTTTGCGTAAAGATCTTAGCTTAACTATAGTACTACAATATTTCTTAATCAGATCCCATAAAGTGTTTATTTTGCTCTATTTGCACTATATTGTGTAGGAGAGTATGTTTGAACAAATATGATTTATTCAACTCAATTTAAATTAATTTATTGATGCACAAACATTTCATGTTCAAATTTCATACAGAAAATCTTCAACGTAACGTCCAATATCTTGCGAGAATTTCATAGTACCTATTTAGCTTGTCTCTATGTAGATTACATGTGTCGGCGCTCTCAGTTACACATATTGGTTCTTCTCCATCTCGATATGGTTGACTTAAGTCCAAAGAAAAGTTACCGCGTAACAGTGCCATACGTTCGAAACACTTGCAGTCCCATGGATTGTTTTCAACCTGTAACGTTTCTAGAGAAGTTGCTTTTGTAATGAACTCATCTTCTAAGAAAACCAGTCTATTGTTTCGTACATCTAATTCCTTTAATGGAAAATGGTCGACTCCCTTTATCTCGATGATATGAATTTTGTTATTCTGCAAGTGTAATTCCTCAAGAGTTTGAAGCGGAAAGGAATCCTCGTAAATAACGGTTAATTCGTTAAATGACAGATCAAGTATTTCCAACTGGGTGTTGTGAAGATTCTGAGATAGTGCACTCTTAATAACGTTGTGAGATAAATTTAAATATTTCAGTTCGTACATCCACATAAATATCCCTTCGACTGTTTCAATTTTGTTATGCGAGAGATGAAGCCTAACAAGCTGTTTTAATGCATGGAACATTTTTAGTGGAAGAAAACTAATTTCGTTATTATGAAGAAATAATTCTTTAATTTGTGTAATTTCTCGAAGGGAATTCATATCGAAATCAGATAACTTATTATGAGAGAGTGAAAGAGATGTTAATTGTCGTAGTCCTTTAAATAGGTTTTGTTGTATCGTGACAAAATTGTTTTCGGATAAATTTAGTTTCTGTAATTCCTGTTGCGATTCAAAGATATCGTTTGGAAAGTCCGAAATTGCGTTGTTTGCTAAATTGAGCTCGCGTAACAGTTGTAAGTTGGCAAATGCGTTTTTATTTACCACATTTATTGTAGCGCAAGAAATCGTTAAATATTCCAAATTTTGGAATGGTAAGACCTTTTCGGGAATTTCTTCTTCTTGACAGTTTTGAATTGTTGATCGTAATATCTTTTCCTGTAACAATATTTGTTATAATTTATATACGTAATATGATAGCAGGTAAACGATTTGATGGTTTTACAAGTTATTAATCACGGGTAGCACATTCTCATTAAATTTTAAAAAATGCGTCGTTTTGTCTATTGGTCATTTTCACATGTCATATTCTTGAACCACAGCATAGGTAACACACGCTTTGAAATCTTGATTTAAAGAAAACAACCTCACAAGTGAATGAACTTATTACAGACAACCTTTTTGTTATGGTAACAGTATGCGCATAAAACTGTACATTGTGGTAAAAGTGTCCAACGAGGTTTGCTTGATCGATTAGGTTTGTATTGCTTTTTGAATGTAGCAGAGTGATTTTGAAATGTTTTCTTTTTCTGGCATAATAAACTTCCTGATGTACAAGTATCATTTTAGACCCATTAGGATAATTAAATTTCTATTTCAAAAGCCTTCTAGAGGGATGTTCTGCTTTACTAACATCTTTTTCCACGTCAGTTTTTCTTTATACGAGGTTTTAGCGCGGCGATGCCGATTTTATCCAAAAGATACGCCCATTTTCTTCAAATCATATTTTGATGACATTTGGCATCTTTGTTCACGATAAGAACCTGTACTGTAAAGTCAAGGTGAGACAGACTATAGATTGGGTACTTTAATTTTAACTAACCAAGTTTCTTCATTCAGTAAGTCAACTGAACCAAGGTACTTGTACAACCAGCCCAAAGAAACGGAATATTTTTCTAACACTGGCGATAACCACCACGTTCTTTATGTTATAAATATATTGTCTAAGCCCAAATTTTAAGCAGTTCTATTCCCAAATATTGGAAGATCTTTTCCTTGTTGAGTCTAGTGATAGCTTTAAGACTCGAAAAAGGCACTAGTATTTATTTATTTCATGAAATACAGTATATGTTTTATATGTGATGTGCTCACCGTACAGGGTAGTTCAAATGAGTGGCTAACCATTGGAATCTCTGTGTGGGTGTGGGTTAAATGGTGGCAAAGTTGTCCCTTTTTGTGACTAAAAAAATGCATTTGAAATTTTTGATAAACCTTTGTAAATAACTGAGATATCACCAAAAAACTGAAAAGGTCAATTTTTTTAAGAATCTGAATTTGTTAGAATTTCCACAGCACATTAGATGCGGAAGCTACAAGCTACTACAGCTGCCACGGGGAAGAACGTTTCGGGTCGCGCAGGTGACGTCAGGCAGTCTGCAATGATCATGTACTACAGCTCCAGATTACTTACTTACCAGCGACGGCGTAAATTATAGAAAAAACGAAGGTATTTGTACTTATGTTATTTTTTATTAATATAATAAGTTATAATACACATTTTTACATTTCTAAGATATACCTACAGGGTGTTCAGTGAGGAATTGGGGGAACAAATGCAGATTTAAAAATTGTTAAAACTTTGTTATAAATGTAAGCTGGGTCATATATTTTGTGATAAAAAGTTTTTTAATTGCGTCACGTGGTACTATGTAACTTAATCATTTTAAATGGAATACCTTACTTTTTATTAGATTTTTGGAATGTGCAACATATTTTTGATTATTTTACTCATAAGTGCTACCAACATATCTCGTTTACTTTTCGGGAAAATAATAATGTTTATAAATTTGTACCCAGGTACCTACATAAATGGTTAAAAACCTGATAAATCTTATATCAAATCAATGATAAAAGATTGTATTCTGTAGATATATCAATAGAAGGAGCTAACGGGAACCGTCCATTTCTGACTGTTTAAGCTAGGGAAAATGAAAACAAAATTTAACATTTTCAGTTTTTTGGTGATATCTCAGTTACTTTAAATACGTTTTTCTACACCTTTTCCACTTTTATTCGAGAAACTATCAAGTTAATTTGAGAAAGTATCAATTGTATTTGAGAATAGTCAAATGTATTTGAGAAAACAACAAATGTAGTTCAGAATAGTGATTTGTATTTGAGAAGGCATCAAATGAATTTGAGAGTAGTAAATTGTATTCAAGAAATGGTAAATTTAAGTATTTGAGAATCAATTGAAAATTAGAAAAACAAAATCATATGTATAACATAGCCTGATGCTGCCGCTGCTGTTGCGGGACTACATACAGTAGCGGAATTATAAAAATTTGATTCTTAATTATAATTCATTAGGAATAATATTACATTCTGAAACACAATAAAATTAAATGATACTTTCTCAAATACAATTGACTATTCTCAAATACATTTGATGTTTTCTGAAATCCAACTGACTATTCTCATCTACTTTGACGTGTTCTCAAATGCAAGTAACAATTCTCAAATACAATTTACAACTTCTCGAATAAAAGTGGAAAAGGTGTAGTCACAAAGAGGGGCATTTCCCCCATTTAACCTACACACTGTATGTGTAGTGAATTTTATTATTATTCATACAGGTGTCGTTCATCTTGTCTCAATAAGAATTGTTAAATAAAATAGGATTTAAAAATCAATCTCTTAATTACGCCGCACTAGCCACAACAGTATCTCTCACCATTATGGCAATCCCAATGGTGTGCCACGAATTTGAACCACCCTGTACACCTGCTATGGGTAGAAATCGTCTTCATGTTAGCTGCTGTATTCCAACCTCATATGACAGGTACACAGGAGACCATGTCACATCAAGTCTATAAAAGAGAGTGTGTGAAGAAGCGTAGCTCCTATTTCTTGTCACTGTCAAGTGCTAAACTCAAGTGATCTTGCAAATGACTTAAAATTGACACTTTACACAATCATTCTAAGCAATGTCATTTAATTCTAAAGTATAATATTTGGCTTACGGGGACTTAAACTTGGCCAGCGATGGTTAGTAGGTGCTATTAGTCCCTCAATAGTAATAAATTACACGACATTTATACTTGCTACAAAAGAAAATATTCCAAAATTTCTCCACCATTTTTAAAAACAGACCACTTAGAGTTTACAGGTCCAAATTTCAAAGCATTTCTGACCTACGTGTGCGCAAAGCTAAATAGGCATTCATATATAACAGTTTCGTACACCTTCTGGTATCTTCCTAGTTGATTAAACCTCATATTTGAACAGGTGTGATTTGTTTGTTCATTTGTTCGTACACAATCAGCATTTGACTTCTTTGGTTAAATGTAGAAAAATAATTATATAACAGCTATGACTACAATGTGCATGATTAAATTTTTTAGAGAAAAACTGGTTTTATGATCAGTAATCGATTGAACAATAACCTTTAACCTTATTTGTCATTTAACACCACATTTGTATATGTTTGGCATGAAAGTTAAGAAATTTCAAATTCTACATTTTCTCCTAGTTTTTATTTAATGTTCAACCAGAATGTTGACATTATTGCCTGCAAGATTTTTCCAAATATTCAAAAATGTTTAATCAAACAGTTTCGGTTGTTTGTTCTACTGCTACTGGAAACAAACATTGATGTTGATACACATCAGGGCGATCGTTTTCGAGTCTCACAATATAAGACTTGATTAAAATGCTCCATACAAAATCGTTTACACTAAGCACTAACACATTTTATTTATAAAAATGTTTTGTATTTGGTATACCTTCTGATTTGGCGAGCTTCGTAGTTGATAAAACCTAAAATTTGAACAGGTGTAATTTTTTTGATCATTTGTTCGTACACAACCAGCATTCACAGTTGAATGTAGGAAAATAATAATTATAACAGGAATGACCACAATATGCATGGTTAAATTTGTTACAGAAAAACTGGTTTTATAATCTTAGTCATTAATCGCAGAACAATAACCTTTAACCTTATTTGTCATTTTATAATGTTTTTAGCGCATTTTTTAATCTCATCTCATTTATTCTGATCTCATATCGATTAGGTACATAAGTAATATTGGATCGTCAAATCCATAAATAAAATCTAAAAAAAATATCCAAATCCCTTCTAGTTATCTGCATACTGCCCTTCATTAAGAAATAATCTGGACAGTTAGGCACTAGCCATTACAATATCTCCCTTTTACTCCACTCCTATTTCAAAACTCGAAAGGGTACAGCAGGGTCGGAATTTTTTCAGTTTCTAAACTGCATTTTGTAAAGCACCAAAATACGCAACTTTGCCAAATTTAAACTACCTACCTATCTCTTACAGTTCGCCAGATCCACATGGTGGTCCTCGAATTTGAATCGGCCTGTATATATAATAATAACAGTATTTATTCTACTCCTATTAACGTAATGACATTGAAAAAAAAAATTCGAAAACAAAAAAGAAAAGAAAAAAATCACAAGGCGAAGTTCACATATACATATCCTGTATATAGTGCCATAAAGGTTATGGAAACTACATCTAACTAAATGAGTACCTAAGTATTTTCTCTTGTTTTTGCGGAGTGTCACAACATAAACTATCGGTACGTCCGTCCCTTGAATTGCTTTTTATTGGGGAAAGGTATTGATATAAAATTTTACTAAAAGATTTCCTATAATATATGGCTTTCATAATACAGAAAACTTTCAGGTGTTTAGATTGATTGACTATCACAATATTTACAAGAATCTGCTTTTATACGTATATGGGGACTATAGGTGAAGTATTATTCTCAAAGCTATTAGATATTATACAGTTTGCAGATTTGCGTAAATTGAAAAATGAAAGACATTTACTAGAGTTCTAACTGTTTTACAAATGCATTATAATACACAGTCAAATTATTCCTATCAACACTACAATCATTCGACGTGCTTGACACACAAAGAGGGCCATCATAGTCTTCGGGTCTCACTATCACTTTGTGATGTATTTTTTCAATCTCTTCTAAACAGGCGCAATCCCAAGGGTTCATAAATGTGTTTAATTCCCTTAAATTACTCGCAGTGTTCATAAAGTCACTTTCCAAAAACACTAATCGATTATTTTCAATGTTCAGCAATTGCAACGGCATGTATTCCATATTCATTCCACTAACATCAAATATACTAATTTGATTATTTTGCAGGTACAGTTCCTGTAGTGTTTTAAACTGCAGAGCGTCTTCGTATACTACGGTTAGTTTGTTGTTTGACAAATCTAAAACCTCCAAGCGGGTTGTTTGAAAGGCTCGCAAAGGTAGGCCTTCGATTGCGTTGTGCGATAAATTTAAATACCGAAGTTGAAATGCGAGCACAAAGAATTCGCTAAAGTTTTCAATTTGGTTGTTAGATAAATCTAAGTACTGCAGTTTTCTGAGCTTTGTGAGTAGTCGATTAGGTAAGAAATTTATGAGATTATGGTCGAGACTTAATTTCTGTACTCCTCTGATTGCGTCAAAAACCTTCACGTGAAAATTAGTAATTTTATTATGCGAAAGAAGTAACTCCCTTAAGCCACCTAAACCGTCAAAAATCATTTGCGGCAAATCTCCGAAGCTATTCCCCGTTAAGTTCAGAGTTTTTAAATTTCCGAGAGGTTGAAACACTTTGTTAGGGAGTGTAGATAACTGATTGTGGCCCAAGTCCAATTCCTGTAGGTTACCATAGTTTACAAATGCTTTTTCGTGCACATTTTGAATACTCTTGCAGGAAATCGTTAGGTTTTCCAACTTTGGTAGAGAAACAAGCGCGCCTTCTTTTATCTCGGTTTCTTTACAGTTGTAAATTCTGGTTCGGAGCAAGTCCAACTAAAAGTGTGTGTATTAGATTCGTTTTCGCAAAAGTGTCTTCTTCATTTACTTTAAAAATCTCAATTTGTGTAAGCTTAATTAACTATTAAAAATTGTAAAAAACCCTTACCTTTGTAGACCGGGATAATACTATTTCACGAAAGCGGAACCCGTCACATGTATGGTTTTTGTGATCGTTTGTTGTTCGACACCATGCAGCAGTGTGTTTTTCTAATTGAATTATAAGTATTAATGCAATAAGATATACAGCACTGCACTTTAAAATCATTGTAGGTACCAAGTTCGTTTCAGTATAATGTCATTCAATGTTGAATTAAAAACACGATTGACTGGTTATATTTGATTCTTGACCTTATGACTCAAGATCATTATCAAGTGTAAGGGGATTTACTAATCTATAAACAATAATTACAGTTGCAATTTTGGTTTGTGAGCGTAGGTACTGATAAAATGTCAGCAGGCAGTTATTTTTGTTACGACATGGATCAATTACTTTCCATGCAACTTTCTTTTAGCATTTATTTCCTCAATCGCATTTAACCATTTCCAAAAAAATGTATGCATGTGTTACTTAGCGAGATGGTGTATTTCACGACAATTAAGCGTGAGGAAAACTACAACTACTATTTTATGGACATTTTAAGTACATAAATAACATAACACATAGAAGAGTTATATTAAATTGTTACACATCTAAGAGTCATAGGGAACAATCTAGGGAAAGTCCGAACTCGATACATGACCTAGGGAATGAAATATGTTGATTTCTATTATATTGAGCCCGCAGTGTTTTCTGTTCCCGATTCACTCGAAGTCCTATAACTTTTGTTCCTGGTGAACCAGCTTCTTGAAAATCAAAAGCGCCCGTCCTTAATGTCCAAAGTACCCGTACACCAAATTTCATCACTTTTAAAAAGAGTTAGAACGCACACGGACAGACGGTCGGACGGACGACAATACAAAATTATAAAGGATCTGATGATCAATTAAGGTATAGGAAAAACGAGTTGAAACGATATAGAAAATGATTTTTTAAAGAATTTTTTATAGTGATGCGGTAATGTTAGAAAAAAATATGTAGTTGGCGGTATTTCGTATCTCGGAAACTATTAGACTTACAGAGCCCATTAAGGGCTTTAATTGTCACAAACAAAAATTGAAAAAATTACGTATTTTCGAGTGTTGGGGCCTATGGGGTTTAAGCAAGTTCCACGACACAAGATATGGGAGCAAATAAGGGAAGACCAAAAGCGATAGGTATATCACTTCTGAAAAGATGACTTTTTGAAATGTCGTCAAATAATCGCCCATCCGTTTTGCCCGGAAGCGGTAAGCATTCGAGTTGCATTTGGGATGTTTCTCAAAAGAACTTGGCCCATCATCCACATGATTATTGTTCCACAGTAAAGTTCACTCTATCTCATGAACGATTGCCAATCCATATTGAAATGCAACAGTCACGAGGTCGGGGACTGAACCAGGAATCTATTTGATCCAACTGGAAGTCTTGTTTGATGTGCAATTTCCCAATTTGAGGTGATTGCTCATCTAGAGGACCTCTCAATGTTATCTTTTAGATTATCGCAAGACATTTATGAAAGATATATATGTGTAGGTTTCAACAAGATGGGGCAACAGCAGGAAAGGATTCAATGCGCAAAAGCTGCGATTAATTCCATCTAAAATTCAAAACCATGAATTGAGAAACTTCCAAAAGAATTTAATAATTATTGGTACATTCCTAAAAATATAATACCTACAATTTGCGTAACATCATAAACAATACAATTTAATAACCATAATCATATCTGCTATTGTAATACACAAAAATCTTTGGGTAAAATTCGTTATCATCATACTTGACGTAAACCTTTCCCTTATTTCCCACAGTAGTATCATTGTCATCTTTTGGTAGATTTACATCGCTATCAACTGGTTCAATCTTGCCGACGAGTACATCTGCAATTATCATTACGCGTTGTTTACGGTTATTCCACGATGATTTGCTGTTAGCGTACTTTGGAAAGGGCGAAAAACTGACACCTTTGCCAAATTTTACTCGTCTAGATAATCGCCAGTTTAAATTGCCGCTAGCAATAGATGACACATTATCTCTTGCAGTATCGTGAAATAATTCTAACACGCGGGTACTTTTTATTACTTCGTACTCTTCTTTTTTTAATAGATACTGAGCATATAGAAATGGGTTTTCTAGTTTATAAATGTCAGTAACGCCCAGGTTGAAATCGCCAGAGACCTTCCGTGCCCAGAATTGAAACTCATCACTCGTGTTATGGATACCAATTAGGTTGTAGTCAGTTGTAAAGTTGAATATGTTGACATTAGACCATTCTGCAGGTGCATGATCCGATATTATTTGCTGCAGCATCTATATAGAAAACCATTTATGTGAGATATATATGTTATACTTTTTTAAAAACAAAAACATTAATTTTACTTGCAAAATACTAGCTGTTTTCCAAAACTAAGTGTCTTTAAAATAAAGCATAGGTAGGTACTTAAAATATGGAAAAAGATCAAAACTAATCCGACCAAATCGGTAAATCAGTCACTACACTGGATGATAATTGATGAAACACTGCAGTTTACTGTTGCGTGTAAGTATTTATAAACGCAGTCACAAAGTGCAGAAGTACAAAGTAGGTATGGTACTTATGAGTTAACGTCATTGAGTAATTAAATATGACTAAGTACGTAACCACTGTGTTTAGTACATTGTAACTATGGATACATGTAAGCGGAATATTTTGTTAAAAGGGCGAAAGTCACGAATGTATAGGTATTATATAGTAATAATAAGCTATCAAGGTGCAGGAGTACAGCCCGAGGGCCTACAGCAGGTGGGGGGATTGATTAGTACTTAGGTACACAAAATTTGACATCCTTCAGATATTGATTGTTGTTCTCAAATGTTGTTATAGAAACGAATAACACAAAAATAATGTCCTTGAATTATAATAATTCCCTTGGACGTTATATATAGGTATTATTTACTCAATGATATTATAGTAATATACTTACATAAAAACTAATTTATTATTATGTCATAATAACATAGTAGGACATACCTACAATCTATTAATAGATAGTGGGACGCCATCAGAGACGCCACCATCGAATCGCCATCAAAGGAAACCGGCGCGACGAATGCGTCATGCGACTTATTCGATACGCTTTCTAGACTTTTCCAGAAGGTTTCGCATTTTTTCTGTGCAGTGTGATACGCAGACTTTCGGCAATTTTCTAGAAACGTTTGGTTGGCTTGCTATATAAGCAAATTGTATTTTAAGTAGAGTTCCGGTTCTATATAATAGCATTGAATAAAAACCACTTATTCAATGATAATAGTAATTTTCACGCTCTAGTTTAGATATATGATAAATTATCATGTTCATGTTTTTAAATTGTCTACAAGCATTGAATAATTTTTCACTCAACGGTAGATATAAGTGAGTGATAAATAAACGCTTCTTAAATATTCCTTCGTTAGGCCAAAGAGTATCCTCTTTAGTTAGACCATTGAATAACGAAAGACCCAATGTTTCTAGAACTTTGTAGGTATGTTCTTCTCGGCCTAAAGCATCGAGCACTCCTTTGTTATTTTGTGTTATAGGTGTTGCCTCTTTTCGTTGTCGTTTATTGCCTCGTTGTATATTTGGACTAGCGTAGTGTCAACATTAAAAAAAAATGATTGAAGAAAATTTAATGCTGAACGCCACTCGTTGTAGGCTATGGCTGTTCGTAAACAATCGACGAAAACTTCAATGAGGCTGCTTCACCAAAATGTCACTTCTTCTTAAACTTTGACTCTATACTCCGCTGATTCCTTGACTAAAATTAAAACTATCAAAAATTACGAAGAACTTTGTGTACACTAAGAAAGGCAAACTTGGCAACAAAATTTAAACCTTTTCAACGAACATCAACCCTGCCTCGAAATTAGCATTTTTTCGCTCATTAAAACGCATTCTTATCGCTAATAAATTACATTATCCTTTTAACAAAAGTAATAATGCCCATAAATGAAAACAAAAACTGTCACAAATGATTTAACAAAGCAAAGTTGATAATAAAATAACCGATAAATTGCCCTACATATGTAACAATTCCAATAAGAATTAATCTTTGAAAGGAAAAACAAACCACTTGGACACAACTAGAAACGCAATAATCATTTTGTGTTTGCACGTAAACGCAACAGAATAATTAAATAATTTACGAAGAAAAATGTGACTAACAATTGATGACCCGGTCATTAAAATTCAGGCGTCTAAACCAAACATCAACATCCACATTGACATTGTTTATATACCAATAGGTACATTTAAGTTGATTTCGTTTATAAAGTTGAATATTTGCTATCAATGCGATAGAATTTGCCTATTACAGGATTGTTTTGCCTCAAACCATCATTTACTAAATGCTTGGATCATACAGCTAAGGCGATATTTTTAAGAAAATTACGACCGTTTCAAATTTTAATAAAGAGTAGTACGAGTTATTATTTATCCCTTTTTCTTAAGAGGCCAGAAGAGGATTATTAGCTGTTGAGCAGCTGAGGCATATTAAAATAATCACATAATAATAAGAACCATAGCACACCCTATTTAATTAAGGTATAGGAAGCTTAACTATAGACAGAACCGAAACACTAGCCTATATATTTCACTGAGAAAGTTCTGAAAATAATTGATCTATCCTGTTTGCCTTATAAGTTATAAATGTTCGGAAAAATCTGTAAATTCCCAGAATAAGATTTAGCAACTTCTTTGAATTTGAGCAGGTATAGTAGGCACATGTACTTCTATGCATCATGTAAAAGTACTTGCAAAACATTTTTATTGCAGTTCCAGCGTTATCCTTGTATCAGGGTGTATCCTGATAGTGATCAGAATCTCCTATGTAGACTTCTTAGATGGATAGGTTACGAGGAGAAATTCATCCTATATTTTAACAAATCTTAATTTGTTGCAACCATTGAATAAGTAATTACTTACTCAATGTCGCAATAGGTTATTGGTAATTTTTCATGGCTAGGATGTCAAAAAATGTAAACTAGGAATCTACTTTTAAGATTTATTTATGAAAGTGCTTTACCAAATTCCATAGTAGTAGGCAAAGACATCTTTAGATAGCCCTAAAAATAAAAATAGGTACTACGTAGAAATTAATAAAATCAACACAGTATAAACTGGAAAATTAAGCACATTGCTACAAAAAAAGTACTGTACCCATTATTGGTATTTTACAATACAATCCTTGTATGTATATACAGCTATTCTATTACTAAATTTTGAACCCAATAGACTTATTTAAAAGTAATCTGACATTTAGGTAATTCCTTATTCAAATGTGTTAAAACGACATCTCTATTCTTAAGATAGGGAAAATCACCCATTATTAAAATGCTTAAATTATTTAAATTTGATAACGAAGTTAATCCCTCCTCTGTAATGTTCCCACAACTGGTCACTTGCAGAAACTTGAGAGTATCACGTAAAGTTTTCAGTAAAGGTAAAGCAGGATTTTCCAAGTACGAACATTTGTGTAAGGTGATCTTATCGATGTGCTTGCAACCGACAAAGTGTGGAAAGCCGTAATGGCTAATGCTTGAATTGGAAGCGTCGACTTCTTTGATAAGTAAGTGGGTGTCTTCGGAAGGTAAGGCGTTGTAATCGTTTAAAAAATCAGTCGATGTAGTCCATTTTACGGCAGCTCCGTTGCGTAGTAGCCATTCGGCACAGGTTCGATCACATCCTAGTAATTTTCGACGGTCTTCGTCGACGCTATTGAATATTTTATTTAACCAATGCCAGAGGTGTCTGGCAGGCTGATATTTGTTGAGAGTAACAATGTTCCTTTTTGGAAAAATGCACAGCATGTTTATAATTACTATGTAAAATAATGAGTAGGTGGATTGCGAGAAGGTTTATGTAAGAGTTTCACCTTTGGTTACCTAAAATCACCAGGTAGTATTTGAAGAGTCTAACAGTGTAAGGACTTACGCAAGCTTCCAAGTAGTCAATTTTGCGTTCCAAGGTAGTTAGTTTTTCATTTAACACAGCAAGTTTAGATCGACATGACATATCTAAAAATAGTTTGTAAATACACAACAGTTAAGGTTATTGCAGTCGTTGGTACCAAAAGAATTGAGGAAGTCCGTAATCTTTTTAATGCTAACAGTGATCACTTCGATATACTCGCGATTTGCCCAATCCTGTTGAATTTGCTTTTGGATAGCTTCTCTATGAGGAGCAGACATTGCAATTGCCTCACTATCACTACTTAACTTACAATTTAATTACCCTAAATTCTTCCTGCTGTAAATTTTAAAAGATCAAAAATTACGAAATTCCCAATGATATTTGTGATTCATAACAGATGGGGACTGCCGACTGTCTGTCTTGCTCTGACCTCTGAACTAGACTATGGAGTTCCTTCTCTAAACTCTAAAGTCACAGAATACATATAACGTAAACGTAACCTCAATTATTTGAATGTTTTTGTCTTGTCAGTTGGACAGATGAGTGATCTTTGAGATGTCTTCAAAGGAAATCAAATCATTGCTCAAAGAAGCGCGTGAGGCAATCAGTAAAAAGGATTTCAAACTGTCTTTAGAACTATGCAAGGTCAGTATCAGATTAGAGCTTTCCATCTATTTTTAGGTTATACTTTTAAACTAAAAAAATATTTAATCTGGTCCTAGGCAGCTGTAACTGAAATGTGTATCAGTTGTACCTTCTGCCATTGTTTATATACACTGTGTACTGTATAATTATTCCTTCTGCAAAAATTTTGTGTTGAGCGGATGGTAGTTGAATCTAAATACCACGAACATATCTTTTGAATGAGGTTGCTATTATGAGAGGCGTTCGAGAGCGAAACCACTTTTTGTAGTGTTGGTAATGCCTTAAGAAACTGTGGGAATTTTAGGTAAAAACAGTCTCTAAACTTTGGTAATATGTGGAATGAAGCGAAGGTAATGAAGTATAATGACAATCGAGATGACAATAAATAAAATTGTGAATAAAACTGATTATTATATTTGTTAGGATCAAACACAGATTTCACCCAACGATTGAAAAATAAGGTCAAAACACGTTCTGGCCACCACCATATTGACATTATTCGAATATCGTTTTCTAGCTGTTTAATGTAGCAACCAGAAAGCAGTTTTTTCTAGGCTATACAGGGTGTTTTTTTGGGAGCTTTAGTTAAAAGTTTCTGGGAAAGTAAAATAGGTAGGTTTTTGAAAATTTGTACTTAGGAGTTACTCTGAAGGCCGAATCGATGTAAAATATTTTCAAAATGGCCGCGCTTCCGGAAACACGGGAAGTAGATAGTAACTTCGTTATTTTAAATGGCAACCCCTATTTTTTTATTGCTTTTTTGGATTCTACGTGAAATTTCACTTCTTTTGATACCCATATGTCGATATCTACCATTTATGGTTATTTTGACTTGAAGAAAAAAAATGGCGGATGCAGATGGTACCTTGATAATTGATTACTTGCAAACGGTTGTAGTCATGGCAACCTATTTTTATCAGTGCATAGAGAATGAATAGGGCTTTCTTTTAGTGCACTTAAAAAAAGTTAAGTTGCGTACGACCGCCCCTATGGATATCCAAATTTATGAAACTTCAAAGACTAAAAACTCAGTTTTTTTTAATGGAATGACCATGTTCTTACTATTCCATGAGATAGAGAATCGAAATGGGCATATTTTGACAATACATGTTCCTATAGCTATCTTTAACAGTTTCTGATTTATTCCCATTTTATTGAATTGACACTATTTTTTTAGGATTTTCTTTTTAGTAGTCGGCCATGATTCTATAACAATTGAATTTTAAACAAATCTAGTGATACTAATCCATCACCCACTGTTATAGGTTAACATAAGTTTTTCAAAAATCGAAAAATGACTCGCAGTGGTTTCACCTATTTTGGAATTTAATTGTTATTTATGGTGAAATGGGCAGAATCGCGGCGCGTGCTTTCCGTACATTCATTCGAAAACTAGAACGAAATTGTATGAATTTTGGAAATTTTGTACCCCTAATGCACTACAAACCGTTGAAGCACAAGTTATACAAAGCTCTACAAGAGAATATTTAAGAAAATGAATTGAATTGCAAATGCAAGATTAACAAAATAAATTCAATGCAAAATATAAAAAACTTCGTTGAAACATTTTTGGTATGGAATTGTTGCTAGAACAGATATCGCATTACCTCTCTTAATTTCCAGACTTATACGTTGTTTAAGAAATTCAGTTGAACGACTCTGTTTAGATTTTTCAAAAATTTTCTGTCCTATATCCTTAATAAATGAGTTATTTATTAATGAATAATTTAGACTAGAACTAGAATCAGTGGTATTAAAGAATCCATTCCTTGATTTGTTTAAAATTCGATTGTTATAAAATCATGGCCAACTACTAAAAAGAAAATGCGAAAAAAAATGGCATCAATTCCGAGATCAATTCAATGAAATGGGAATAAATCAGAAACTGTTAAAGATAGCTATAGGAACATGTAATATCAAAATATGCCAATTTCGATTCTCTATCTCATGCAATATTAAGAACATGGTCATTCCATTTAAAAAAACTGAGTTTATAGACTTTGAAGTTTCTTAAATTTGGATCTCCATAGGTGCGGTTGTACGCAACTTAACTTTGTTTTAAGTACAGTAAAAGAAAGCCCTATTCATTTTCTATGCACTGATAAAAATGGGCTGCCATGACTATAACCTTTTTCAAGTAATCAATTATCAAGGTACCATCTGCATCCGCCATTTTTTTTCTTAAAGTCAAAATAACTTAAAAACCATAAATGGCAGATATGACATATGGGTATCAAAAGAACTGAAATTTCACGTAGAATCCAAAAATGCAATAAAAAATAGGGGTTGCCATTTAAAATAACGAAGTTACTATCTACTTCCGGTGTTTCCGGAAGTGCGGCCATTTTGAAAATATTTTACATCGATTCGGCCTTCAGAGTAACTCCTAAGTACAAATTTTCAAAATCCTACCTATTTTACTTTCCCAGAAACTTTTAACTAAAGCTCCCAAAAAAACACCCTGTATACATAAATCTTACTATTTAAACATTGTTTGTTTTTTGAATCTAAAGACATTTTCTTATATGGTTTCTTGTGCCAGAAATTGTGTAGTTACAGTTTCTTGCATGCATTTTTATACAGGGTGGTGCACGGTAAGTAGGAACATAGGGATTTAACATGGGAAATTAGTTTTATGCAATATTCTGCCCTCCTGTACATTTTACAGAAAAAACTGTAGAGTTTAAAGTTGTTCAGAATTAAAAGGTGCATACAAAACTGTTTTTACAAGTTTTATTAAGCTTTTGGTATACCCGCAAATTTAAAAATAAATTTCAACATTTCTGTTATTAGTAGCAATTCATACAACAAAAGTCATGGCGAAAATTCCAAAAAATTTATTACACAAATTTTGATTAACCCCTGAAATAAATCTTGGACACGAATAGAAAGATCTCACATGAAAACTATATGGGTCGCACTTTGGATTCGAATAAACACACAATTAATTGATTGGCAATGACTAAAATTTATTCCCATAAACATGACAGCATTTAAACAAAATCCTTGAAGGAAAAAAAAAGCTTACAAAGTTTGTTTGGACATATTACCCCGCACGCAAGCGGATGACAATTAAAATAAGATATCTTAAATTGCGTAAGCCCGGTTGCACCAGCCCGCGTCTTACCTAAGCTGAGCTCAGAGTTAAGCCCGGCTTAAGATGGAGTTGCGTTGAATTACCTACAATCGATAAGCTGTAGCTTGACTAAGATTGAAGTTAAAATGGCAACGCTGCTTGCTGTACGACGTGATTGGTTATTTTAAATTGGCCGTATACGTAATTAAGCTGTTGAGGTATACGTATGTTGTACGTTATCAATAATATCAAACGCGTTGACATCCACATCAACTGTAGAAATGAAAACACCACTTTTAACAAAATAATACGAATGTTGTAAGGATGACAACTGACAGATGACAAATACAGTCGTATTTTGAACGTTTACTTAGGTAGAGCTTTAGTCTGGCTGGTACAATCAGGTTTTACAGTTTTTTTCTTAATAATCCAAACAATTTGGTCATCAAAGATTTGTGATACTAGGCTCACACACAAATGTTGACAGCTTTTGAACTTCACTTTACGTTATAACACAGAATTAGCTAACAAACAAGACTGGCTTGATGAATAAGATCACAAACTTCTGGTAGCGGTAGAAACTTATGACTTTTAGTAAGAAAGAACCTTAATGAAAGGCCTCGCTGTGCTACAACCGCTTGCTTTTTCAACTCGACGAAACTTTCTGTAATCAGCCAACGTGCCTTAAACTTCTTACATCACTTTGGTGAACCTGCTTCTGCACAAATTGCCCGTGTGGCGCAGTTCAGTTAAAGCTGAACTGTGGTGCTAAGGGTCCCTGGTTCGAATCCGGGTTTGGGCATGGATATTTGTAAATGTATAGTGGGTTGGGTTGGTAGAGCAGTCTGAGCTGAAACCCCGCCCACTCAAAAATAAAGGCAAAATAAAATAAAATGATTAACTGCATCTTCAAGTAAATTCCAGCTTTTAAAGGGCCACAATTTCCACAATAAAATAATCTTTTGCAATGAAATATCCAGTAAACCGCCAATCACAAATAGTTTTGATAATCATAGCTTCAATTATTCTTTGTGTTTTGACCGAAATATAACGTCTACATGATGTTGTTTACACAACAGCATTAGTCCGGGAATCAGCGACCGTTTAGTCATTTCACAAAAGCTGAAAATATTTCCTAAGCTCTTTTTGATATCGCTAGTAAGTGAATAGACTTTCAGCTGGCGCATCTCCGAGGGTTAATCTTCAATGTTTACCTTGAAGTTTACAATGTAGGTATTTCTTCTGGCAGTAATTTCATGGTCGATTGCGATTGAAACCAAATTTATTTGTTTATCTACGACTAATATATGATGTGAGTATTATACTTACTTACGGTTTGTTCGGTATAATGCCATCCATTATTCCCTTATGGATTAATGACCAGGGATTAATAGCTCTTACGCCTTCTTGTACTCCAATCACAAAATTTCCTTAAATGTAATATCATCCATGGAAACAAAACATACGTCAAAAGTGTAAATGTCAAGCGGGTCGTGTATTGTTTGTGTATATTTTTTTGTATTAAAATGGATAAAATCTCAAGCTATTAAATTAGTCGTAGATAAAGTAGAGTACATTACTCGCAATAATGGCTATTATATTCTCGGAATTTTACTCCCTCGCAAGCGGCTCAGTTCTTAAATATTCCTCGAGAATAATACCTATATCATTATTGACTCGTGATATAATCTACTATTATTGTCTGACCATGGAATTATTGTCATAAGAAATACATTGTAAACTTCAAGATAAAAATTCAAGTGCCCCCCCCCTCCCCCAGAGCTGATTTCCGGACTAATATCTAACACAATTAGCTATGATTTCAAAGAATTTTTTTTTAATATTTTGGCAACCTGTCGTATAATAATTATATATTATATTTATATTTATATCAAGAAGGTAACGAAGAAACGCCCAAGCAAACACGACAATGCGCGACCCCAACTATACAAACCCCCACTGTCAACTTAAAACACATAAAACGTTGCCAATTTAGGTATAGTATTATTGGTTACCTAAGTGGCAGTAAGCATCTGATCTCGCATCTGATTATCATTACTTTTGTCAATAACTTTACATGTTATTTATACCGCTAGGTGACGGCTGTCAGGAGTGTTCGAGGGATTTGAAAATAGACGACGGGTATTGAGAGCATGTTGGATTTATGTTTCCGTAACTAATAAAGAAATTATAAGAATATTTTGTATTATTTTTCTACTAATAATTAGTCTCTCTTCTACTAATTATTAGTAGAAAAATAATACAAAATATTCTTATAATTTCTTTATTAGTTACGGAAACATAAATCCAACATGCTCTCAATACCCGTCGTCTATTTTCAAATCCCTCGAACACTCCTGACAGCCGTCACCTAGCGGTATAAATAACATGTAAAGTTATTGACAAAAGTAATGATAATCAGATGCGAGATCAGATGCTTACTGCCACTTAGGTAACCAATAATACTATACCTAAATTGGCAACGTTTTATGTGTTTTAAGTTGACAGTGGGGGTTTGTATAGTTGGGGTCGCGCATTGTCGTGTTTGCTTGGGCGTTTCTTCGTTACCTTCTTGATATAAACGCTACAGAAGGTATAATCACCACCGTCCCACATGATAACCGCGTGATGGTCAAATTATCTATTTATTTGTCTATATGTTGAGTATCATACTTTAATAAAGTAATCTTATTTTATGATCTTCTTTTTTCTTTTAGAAAATTTTGAGCTTGGACCGGGAGAATTATATGGCTCTGGTCTTTGTGGGATTATCACTACAAGAACTCGGCTTAAACGATAAAGTTATCCCAACGTTCAAAAAGGCAATTCAAATATCTCCGAAGAATGCACTAGCTTTTAATGGCTTAGCAAATTATTTAGAAAAATTGCAAACTGACGAAGCTCAAGCGGAACTAATTTCCATTTATGTTACCATACTGAACTTGGAAAGGTGCGTATTGTATGTTTCACCACTGTTTTTTAATTCTGTTGTTGCAGCGATGATAAGAAATTGAATGAAGTTTGTGAAAAACTGGGGGCGCTATCCATTTCTGACAATCACTTTACCGATGTGTTGGAAGCTTTGCAGAAAGTTGTTAGCAATGAAAGTGTTACAAGTGCTACCCTAGCAAGTGCATCGGTTGCTCTTGCAAATCTTATTTCTAAAAGAAGCAATGCAACTCAATCAGTGTTGGATGTGGTAAGGTGACTTCAGAGCCCTTTTTGCACCTAACCTTTAACTTTACAGTATGAAGCAGCTTTAAAAGTAGTGCTGAGCAATGAACATCTTATAACAAGACAGTACTATTCAGAGTATGTAAAAACACTGTATAAAAATAAGCGATACAGTGCGCTTTTTAAAGTAGGCAAGGAAATGTTTAACTTGTATAACACAGATCTAAGTTCTATCAAATGGATGTGCCAGGCTTACACCGAGCTAGCAATTGAGCAGAATGATATGTGTAAGGAACAGAATGAAATTGAAAAATATTGCGATATTCTCTTGAATCTGGAAGCAAGCTCTTCTGTCGGATTAGGAACTAAAGCTTTATTTTTGTATGAAAATAAAAATTTCTTAGCAGCGGTTGATTTACTGAAGCAAGGTAGGCTAAACGTTGGTGTGGTATTGTTGTAAAGTTTAAGTTTAGTTACATACTCAAGACCGGATTGGTCACATATGTGGGTACTTTTGGGTTTGTGTTACTTGGACTTGCATATGTACAACAACGCCAGCAGGACAAGTCTTACTGCACAACAACAGTGCAATGACCACTCAAGTATGGCATTAACTAAACAATTAGATAAACTGCTTCCACAAGTGCTATCCAGATCTACTGAAGACGAATATCTGGAGAAAGGAGTCAATTTTTGTCTTGATGTATGCAGGTACCGTTGCTGTGTTCTTATAAATACATTTTAAGTACTTTTAGAAATTGAAAAACGCTGCGAATGTGGCGACCATTTACATACCATTAATCCGGTGTTATATAAACTTAGAAAATTTTACTCAAGCAAATTTGTTTCTTTCCAAACTAAAAGATATGTCAAACGAGCCCGCGATGTTTACTTTGCTTAATGCTCAATTGCTACATAAACAAAAGCATCACCAGGATGCACTGGATCTGTTATTAAAGGAAGATAATAATGATATTTCAGAATGGTGGTATGAAATTGGAACTCTCTACTGGGATCTGACGTTATTTGATAAAAGTTTGATACCTTTTTTGAAAGTGAGTGAGCTACTAATAATACACGCGCTAAATTACCATTTGTAGGCTGCGAAACTTGATCCTAACTGTTACATATACTTTTTACATCTCGGCCACTACTACCAAAAGTTTAATGATGTGGACAAAGCAAGACGTTGTTACGAAAAGGCGTGCGCAATGAATGACAAGTGCATTGAGGCCGTCGTGGAACTTACTAAAATTTATAGGTCTCAAAAGAATTGGGTAACGTTCTTTAAATTTATCTGTAGGTCATAAGGTTCGCTCTAAACTTTGGTTTAATCTGTGGTTGTTTTGTTGTGTAATTAAGGATGTCTTTATGTTAGATACCATTCAGCTATTTACAAATGTTTATGATCTTATTGGCCAGATATACAGGGTCACACTTTAAAAAGGTTCAAGGATTCATTTTTCTTTTTACCCTGTAAGTTTAATCTTTCAATCTGCGTCCATATTTCAATCAATTTTCTTTTGGATAATTTTTTTTGTTTTCTCAATTACCTCAGCTTCTTCCTAATTATGGTTCATTAATTTTCAGTACTCCGTCCTTCCTTTTCTTTCTTACTTAACATTCAATAATTTTTTTCCAGTGTAAACCTTCGTGGGTACCTCTTAACCCTCTCGTTAACCATGGATTCCTTTTTTTATCACCTCGCAACCCTCCCTTAAAAAACTGATAAACTTTCTATGTGTATAACTCTAAATAAATATGTTTCATTATTAAGCGGCAAAGCAAAGCGATGCAAGCTTTATAGGGGAGTCAATGGTGTTCGTCTGGCCGTGAACACGATGACTACCAAACGCTTGGACCGATTCGGTTCAAACTTTGCACGCCTTTCTGTCTCTGCCAAACGCTTGAACCTATTTGGTTCAAACTTTGCTCAGTTGACCCATATGCCACATGTAACAAGCCTATTGAAAATGACATCCACTGACCCGGTAGGCTCACATCGAGGTGCTCTGCCGCTTTTTTAGATCAGCTTTAGGGGTTTATTAAGTAATGCCATTGAAAAAGTGGGATTAGATTTTGGGTTTTTGAGGCGGTGGGGTACAAAGCGCATGCCCTCTCGCATTTAAGCATACTGTACAGCCACTGGACGATCAGGCCAAATGATGCAATTTCATTGGTCCGCTCAAGGACGGGCGGCGATCCGAATGAGACCGATAAGAGCTGTCTACAATCGCGCAATAATCAGGTGTTCGTTTTAGCAGTGTAAATTATGTTGAATTGTATTATTGTTTTGTCCAAATAAAAAAATAATATGAGCCGTTTTTTGCTTCAAATAAGTGATGATATAGGTATTACCAGACGCTTTTAAAAATAAAATCGTTACATTTGGCTCACGGCACTGATGATAACAAAATTGTAATTCGAAGCAATATAAAGACATTTTGATGAAATTAATATGAGTTTGCCTTCTGGTAGGCCATCCACAAAAGGTACAAGAAAACGTTCTAGGAATTTTCAGTTGTATATCAACCTTAACAGACCCAATGCTAAATCCCTCTGACAAAATCATTATAATAATGAATTAAATGTACTTCTACGTTGCCATGACGCCACAGTGTTCATAAGCACTCGTGGTATTACCTCCAAATATTAGGTATCCTTGCTCATTTTGAAATTTAGGAAACGGATAATGTACATTTAATAACTACACTTCGACGCGCGTTGTTCCTCTATTTCATTTGACCAATGAAATTGCATTATTTGGCTTGATCGTCCAGCGACTGTACAGTATGCTTAAATGCTGCCCGCTCTACTTACAACTTTTCTATCCCATATAAGTTTATTTGCGATATAGGTCTAAAGTTCACACTATTTAAATAAAAAAATTGTTGCTAATTGTGTACTACGCAACAGTACAGTCCCTTCTAAACTATGTAATAACTATATAACTTTTCGTTCAACATTGGCACGATCCTATTCTGGAAATCGCTCGCATCTTAAGAAAAACATATATTGTAGATCGAGACAAGATGTGCTGTGACCGGCAATCTTTCCTGACGAGAGTTATATATAATGTTCTACCCGAGCACTAGCAGTTCAGTGGCAGAATTCTGCATGAAAATTAATTTTTACTTAACCAAAGTTATTACACCATCAATGAATACATTTATGGTTGTAAAAACATGTGATATAACCACAGGTGATATTTTTATATTTATCAGTATACAGGGTGGTGACTTGCGTAACGCATCATAGGGATTTCAATGTAAAATTCATAACATGCGATTATTGGCTCCCCAAATTATTTTATAGCAAATATGTATTAAGGTTTTTTGTAGGAAAAAAATTTTTACGTCAATCAACCCTATTAGTTTTCAATTTTTTGCATAATAAAGACGGAAAATTGGAAAATAAAACCCCCACTTTTTCAATAATCTGTGATGCCATGGAATTTTATAATACAAAAACTACGCCAATATCCGTCATGCCATGGAATGTGCTATAAAACAAATCAAATTCTATCAAAAAGTATTATATTTAGAACAGCGAATTCAACTGAAAGAAAGACCAAATTACTAAAAACGGTTTCCTAATATAACAATTTACAATAAACGTTCGAATAAGTCACCATTAACTGCAATACAGTAACCAAGTCGATCATAAAAGCCATTTCGAACTGCTGCTAATTGATAACTGGATATCTTTTTGTTTTGGAAAATTCCATGGCATCGCAGATTATTGAAAAAGATGGGGGTTTTATTTTCCAATTTTCCGTCTTTATTATGCAAAAAATTGAAAACTAATAGGGTTGATTGACGTAAAAAATTCTTTCCTACAAAAAACCTTAATACATTTTTACTCTAAAATAATTTGGGGAGCCAATAATCGCATGTTATGAATTTTACATTGAAATCCCTATGATGCGTTACGCAAGTCACCACCCTGTATATTAGAAATATCTCGCCATTTTTATTTATTTATTTATTTGTATTTACTGTATTGTTCAACTCTACACTTATATTATGGACGCCGCCTATGTACTCAGTACGTAAATGGGAAAAAGAAGTCAAAATAAAAACATTAAAAAAAAAGTTACAAAATTTCATGTTTATATAGGTATTTGTATACTTTTTTTAATGGAACACCGTATATTTTTTTGTGTTGTCTTTGCCACTTATTCACCAATCTTTAACTTTCATTAATAATGACACTATCTTCAATTGTTTTTGAAATAGCACGACATTCATGATTATTTATGCATGTCTATGCATGATATTTCAAAAACTGTTGAGGTGGCGGATCGCAAAATCAAGAAGTTAAAATGAATTTTATATAGAAAATAAAACACAAACAGAATCGTACAAAGCAGACACGCAATGAGAATGATTATTGTTATTATGCCATTAGCATACTTTGCGGGCCACAAGTCGTTTACAATTAGTGCTGTGCAAAAAAACGATTAATTGATCAATTAACCGATAAATTGAAAAAATTATCAATTAATCGATAATTACAATTAATCGATAATTAGTCATTTAAAAGTAGTGCTTTGCAAAAAACAATTAACTGATAACATCGATAACTATCGATTAATAGCTAGTCGATAAATTAAAAAAAATGGTCGACTAATCGATAATTTATCGAAAATTTTAAAGGATTGGTCGATACATCTATAATTACCGATAATCTATCGATTAATCTCACAACTAAACTAAGAAGATAGATAATTATCGAGAGAATTTTTAATGACATAAACCTGAGAACTCCATTTTCAATGTTTATACCAGTTTACTTGAAACAAAAGCGATCAAGTAAGAGCATTGTGGAGGTGCCATGATCACAAATCACAACCTACTTCTCTACTCATTTTTGAGGATTATCGTCCACTTGATCACCTTTGATTTCAGAAAACTTCAGCATACCCTCGAGCATACCTACCTACAGTTGTTTTCATATTTGTCAAAAGATGTTTTTATTTAAATTATCTCTCCCAATACCAATACAAAAAAGCAAAAATGTTAGCGAGCGTACGCATGGATTATACCGATTGAGAATGTATTTATATCGATAAGATTTATGAAAAAGTATCAATAGTTTTCTCTTGATAATTACTGCTACTTATCTATTAGTCGATAATTATCAGAGATCGACAATTTTCGACAAGTGTCAGTAATAATATTATCGACAGCTAACAATCATTATCGATAATTATCCAACGTTATCGATTATTATCGAAAGTTATTGATAATTATCGATAGTCATCAATTAACGATTAATCGATAATTATCAGACTAAACAGACTTAAAAATTTCATTTATCGCCCAGCACTATTTAGGAATAGATAGAGCAACTAAACATTAAATTCACCCCTCGACTCGAGGGTCGCTGTAACGCAGTTACGCAATTACACAGCCCTGAAGACGCCCTACACCTCAGATGCTTCGGTTTCGATAATGTCTTTGTTAGGAAATCACGCATTCTATTAGTGCCACATCTCTACTGCATGGTCTCCTTTCAATGTCAGCGAAGTGTCGAAGCCACAGTGCCGCTTCGTCCACGGTATTCTTGACCCGCTCCTTTTCTCCCAAAAATCTCACATCGCGCGTGATGAGGACTTTTCTTCTCTTAGTTGACTAGATTCGGTACGGTTTTGATTCGTTGGCGTGGCACTCGCGTTCACAAGATTTTGGCGTTTGGAATGGTCTATCGCGAAATAGTTCGAACTCTTTGCACAAATATATTGTCGCGCCACTGTCGAAACCCGTAGACAGACGTTGTTGACGCGCTTCCCGCTACCACCTTTATTCTTGTTATGGCACTCAGAAGCCTTGTGACCTAGTTCAGGGCATTTGAAGCAGCACAGCACCGGAGTGTCCTTGTGTTGTCTTTTATTCGCCTGGGATTTTCTGCCATCCCGTCGTCGGCCGTCCTTATTCGCCATCATAGCGCCGGATACGTCACCCCGCGTTAAAGGGTACGAATATAGTGCATCGACGCGACAGGAGGCAAGCGACGCGACGAGCGACGAGACGAGAGAATTATAGTGAAGCGTCGCGATTTTTACCTTTTTAAAGTTGAGTTTGGGTAGTTGTCGAGATGCATTCTGACAGTGAGGATGAAATTCTGTTTGATAATCCAGCATTGCGTTTGTTATTAACAATAAGAAATAGAGAGTGTGCTGTACATCAAATAAACCAAGAACGGCGTAAAGTTGGACAATACCATACTCTATTTCTGACACTGAAAAATCATCCAGATAAATTTTTTGAATATATGAGAATGGATATGTTCACTTTTAATTATATTCTTGATAAAGTGAATTAATTAACTGTTCAGTCTGCATGGTAGGTACTGTTGACACAGGCGTTCACAAGGAGTCAAGCACCTACCTGCCGCGCGCATGTCGCGCGGTAAGAAATGCCAAATCTTAATCGAGTCTCGTCGCTTACTTGTCGTTTTAACGACAACGTGTCGCTTATATCTTCACTATACACGCTACGGTTTGGAATACGTTAAAATAATTCAGTCTCGTCGCTTGCCTCCTGTCGCGTCGCTGCACTATATTCGTACCCTTATACTGCCGCGCGCGATGATCCTGCGCGCGTCGATATATTCAATCATTTTGAGCGCAGAGCCTCCGGCTCTTGCATTCAATGGCACAGCGAAATACGTCGAAACTGGAAGGCAAACTGTGTAGTAAGACGATCGTCAACAAGTCCGGGTTGGTGACGTCCATAAAGTTCAGCTTGAACCAGACGTAGAATTAGAATTTTGAACCAAATACAGGGTGTTCAATTTAAAAGCGTGTAAGGCCCCTTACTAGGTGATCGCGCCCTGTATAATTTAAAATATGCACAATATTAAGATTATCATACAGAAACACAATCTCGCCAACTCTTACTGATTATATTGGCACTCGATTAATTTGACGTAACGCCCCACAAACAACTCGGCAATCCTTGACGTTGTGAAATAATAGTTATACTAATCCATATTTCATATTGGGGTGTTACAGGATGCAAACGCTACCTTATTACAAAATTTAACCGGTAGTGCCCTCAATACTGAAAATAAATGGGCTTGGCTGCAGTTGGGCTTAAATTTCTTGGAGCAAGAAGATTATACAAATGCCACCGACACATTGAGATGTGTTGTACGTGCGAATCCAAATGATAGGTAATTATTATGCGATCTGACGTTCCTTGAAATCCTTGTTTTGTTAGCTACTGTTGGGAAAGTTTGGCCGACGCGTATATGGCGAGAGGTGCTTATACTTCAGCTTTAAAATCGTACCAAAAGGCTACCGAGATTCAACCGAAATCACTGTATCCACTATTGCAAGTTGCCAACATAAAAAAGGTATCTGCTCTGGCGCTTTGGGTTTCGATTGTAATCGACAATTGCTTTGTAGAAACTAGGCGACTTTGTCGAAGCCCACTGTGATTATGAGTCAATTCTTCGAAGTAATAAGCATTACGTGCCTGCATTGAAAGGCTTAGCCGAGACTTGCATAATGCAAGCTAGGCAATTTACAAGAGATCAGCGGTTGGGAATTGCGCGAGACTACGCTGAGAAGGCATTGGATATGGTTACAGTGTATGGTGCAACTGCCATTGGGGTGTGTTAAATAAATGATCACGTTTCAGTGGAATTCGCCAACAGAATGATTTGTGTTGCCTTTGGAAATTGGCTGGTGACAGTTGTGTTTTGATTGCGAAGTTACCAGATAAGTACTGTTGCGCTTTAGCCTTAAAGGCGCTGGCTGAAGGATGCGCGTCAGAAGAAAATGTTGTTTTAGAACGCGAGGAGTTGCTTTTATTAGCCGAGCGGTACCTATGCAATCAAACAACGCTAGCATTTGTAAAGTTTTATTTTAGTTGTTATCATAAAGCTCTGTCGATGATGGATGTTCAAACGATGCTTTGGTATGATTTGGCGTCGTGCTTTGTGTTACATGCGCATTATTCTGATGATAAAGACAAAGCAGAGAAATATTATTCCAAGGCGGCAGATATCTTGGAACATTGTGTCTGTACAGAAGCTTCATGTTGGCAATTTTGGAATTTAATTGGCGTTATAGCTTTTAAAAGAGGTTTGTCGAGTACCTTTTATACAGTTTATTTAGAGTTGGTTTGGTAGATAAAAAAGATTATGCGTTGGCTCAACATGCACTTATAAAGGCAGTTACTGCAGATGATGGCAGTGCGGTGGCTTGGTGTAATTTAGGAACTTTATATTTGGTTTTGGAAGAACCAAAACTGGCCAATGAAGCATTTTCACAAGCACAACGTGCAGACCCTAATTACGTGAACAGTTGGATTGGACAGGTGAGATTTTATAATTTATATGTGCAAAGGGTTATGTACAACTGAGTGAAATTTACAATAATTTTCCTGCTCAGAATCTACCACTGGTATAAACTCACGTTACTTATTTTATTTGCATCAGGCTTTGATAGCTGAGAGTATGGTTATGGATGACGCTATGGACCTATTTAGACACAGTACACAATTAGGATTTCACGTGGAAGGTGCTATTGGTTATGCAAATTGGGTTTGTCAAACACTTCAGAATATGAAGCCGCGTGTTGAACTCTATTCTATTCATAATATGCATGCCATTCCTGTTGCCTGTGATGCTATGACTTGGTATACAGGTAAGTTTACATACATTTACCAGGATATTGAATTTAGAGATAAGGATGAACATAGTGTTACTACTCACTTTTGGGACCTTTGTGCTGCCTCCCTGTGATTAAGTCCTGCTGTTCTACAGCATCGCTCTACAGTCTCGCCACACTAACCTTGATTGTTTGATATTTGCTGTAAGTAGTACCTACGATCCCTATTTTTTGTACTCTGTGAAGGGCACAATTTGTAATAATATCTAGGGTGCAGTCAAGTGCGCAACTTCCGCCAAAACTAAATGAAACCCCATGGCACATGATCGTCAAGTAAAAAATTACAAACCTGTCAGGACCAACGTTGTGTTGCGAAAGGAGTTGCTTGAGGAGGTCTGTGTGTTACACAGTAAGATAGTGGCAAAATACCACTGTCTTGTATAGTCATGATAAAGTTCAGAGGGCAACATGATAATAAAATATTGCATTGTTTGTATTCGAGCAGGGGGAGAGGGAGGGGAATGAGTGGAAATTTAACCTTCTATCTGACTTGACTTTTCGGGCCAGGCGAAAGCAGGTCTAGGACTGAGTCCCATAGGCGGGTGCAGTCGCTGCCTACCGAATCAAGAGGAATTTTCACATTCTCTACTTCTCTACTAAGGAGGGCTAAGGTTTACTCTTTTTATTTTGACTCGAGAAACCAATTATGCTGTCTGTCAACAAAAGCATCATCATTTACTAATTCGTATCGTATGGGTGGCAGTACGATAACAAATTCAACAACTATATTGCGCCCTCACATAAAACAATCAAAATCCCCCGACCCATTGCACAAGCCGATAACGAAAATCATAATTGAATTTCAGTCACCTTTCTGTTAGTGTTAACATTATAAAAGCTATAATGTGGAAAATTCCACTACAAGTAAATACGTACACAAAATATTACAAGATAGGTACTCTAAATTGTAACAACGCCCTGTATATTAATCTTAAATGAAAGCCACCCACACTAGTGGAAAGGTTTCACTTTAACTGCGTAAAATTATTGGGATACTGTCTGTCTTGTGAGATCTGTAGCGTTGGTCTCAAGTTAAAGTAAAAAGCTCAAAACTGCTATCATTTGTTGATAAAAAAGCTTTATTTTTGGTTTCCATAATGAAATTAATAAAGTCAACGAAATAGGTTTTATTGTTTATCCTATGATGATGGAATGAAACGATTGAATAAATAGTGTGGAGAATGTTAGAGAAATGATTAAAAATTACGACAGTGTGGGCCCAATGTTTTGCAGTCTGTTACATTTGTTCTATATTTCATGAAATCCGTGTCGCTAAAATTAATACCTAAGTTTAATACATCATCACAGAGAAGAATCTTTGTTACCTAAAGAGGTGCAGGCTGAAAGCTAACACAGAATCATTTTGTGCGGATTGATGTGCTTCGCATACAAATCTCATTTTGCATACTTTCTCCTTAAGATGCATAGCCTCAAATGCCATTTCGGTTAAATCGGCTCTAGAATGCATAATGAAGGCTTTAGTGATTTTTTCAAGAACTTACTTTTTAATAATCGACTTAAAGAAGTCCATATTTCCAAATAAAGAAACTCCAATGCTTCTCGCAAAATTAGATGTGGTTCCATAGGTGGATTGAGTGGGCGTAGGATTGCGAATTGTGGAATATCTGTGCAAAAAACTCGGGCTGTTCATAAATACCTTTTTTTGGAAATAGTCCAATGGGGGAGCTCCATATTTGTGGTCGTCGTAGATTACTTTTGTGTCATGACAGTTACATTTATCTGCAATCTTTGTTTGATACACCCATAATTTAACAGTGACTTACCTTTACTACTCACGTAGTACAAAAAGGCAAAAGCCTTTCCTGCTAAGACCCAGAAACTTATAAACGTGCCAATTAGAAATATAATCTTCACTTTGATTGCCAAAAAAACCCAATACTGTATAATACCATCTTGGATGCTCGTTGTTAGTTAAATGTTATACTAAGAATAGTACTTACGGTGGAAATGAAATGGGTACTTGAGAGGATTTTTTCTGCTTACACCAACTTCATTCTCTTGTGATGCTGTGCAGCAACTAACAATAACAAAGACGAAGATTATGGAATGAAACATGTTAATTGTACTAACTGTGTATAGTACTCTGTTACTTATATACCTATGTTGTCCAAACTACAATGTTTATTTTCTAATTAGTGGTGCAACACTTTTATTTTTAGATCATTCACATTTAGTAGGCCAAGAAAATTGGTTTGTTTATCACAAGGTCATAAGAAATTTTAGAGAAACTGCATTAAGTACTTTTTTGTTGTATGTGAAATATTTGTTTTCTCTAGCTTTTCACGTCTATGGTAGCCCACCGTCTCTCACAAATTCATCTATGGAAATGTTCGTTTGTCATTTTGTTATTGTTATTGTTACTTTTATCATTACAATACTCATTTCCTCCTAAGTATATTAATTAAAGTTGATCTCTTTAATTCTTCTAAAGAATCTCATTTCTATTTTTCTTTACTTTCTGATGTTTTTTCTAATTAGCGTCACTTTCACATATTAGTGACTTTCCTTATGCTTGTGTTTTGATTGCTGCGGACAACGAATGTTTGACTTATTCTTTTTCCGCATCAACCCCTGTGAAAAGCATGTCTCATCGTTATGTGTTTAATTATCAGTACCCTGTGTCTGTTCCTGCACGTTTGTATAGCGTCATTCGCTGCATTTGGCATATGACAGAGAGACAGCAACAAATAGGGGTGGTCACTATAGGAAGTACATCGTTTTCTAGGTCCGCAAACTCTACGTTACCCATCTACAGGGTACATAGTTCTACAATACCTTTTAAAATTAAAACCTTTAATTTATAAACATATGCCAACTGTCAAAACTAACAAAAACAAGATATTATCCAAATAAAGTCAGGGCCCTACTGGGTAATTTTAAAAACTTTACTTATTTAGCCAACTACCGAAAATAGATTTTCTAAATAAATAAGAAAATAACATTCTTGTTTCACAATCTACCAGTGGTGCACTGACAAAAAATTCAGGGGTCGAAAAAGGAACATGACCCTTGAAAAAACAACACCCTGTAGATTCTCCCTATCATTGACTTAACCAACGATGTAAGCCCTTCAGCGTACCTAACATATTTCAAATTTGAGCGTAATATCTCAAAAACTGCAGGAAATAGAAGGAATAAAAAATTTGAAATTTAACACCCTGTAGATCGGTAACGAAAAGTTTGCGGACCTATGTTTGTTATAAAACTTTTAGTCATACAATAAGCCAAAGAATTAGCCGCTTGCATATTTACATCATGTATATTTCTGTGCCCCACGTTGGGCACCAAATACAAATGTGCAATGGCACTAAACTACAAGGAGATTATTTAAACAAAATTGACAACTAATAATTCTAATAAATCGTTATTTACGTCAAAGTCAGAAAAATGACAGATTACTGGCGAGGAAATATTGAAGTACAAGGCGTCTTTGGGGCGAATACTTTAATTTCCGAGTTTCATATAGAACTTTTGGTTGTTTGTCAGTGATGATTATAGGCATTTGGCAATGTGACAGGTGCGGCAGGAAAAGTGATAGGGCGGCCGGTGAAGTAACAGGTGTAGCTGGTAAAGTGACAGGCGGCAGGAAAAGTAATCTGGTCTGCCTCTGTCGTGGAAACTAACACTTACCTGACATAAAGTAGGCATGAAAATTAAGGTTTCATGACGATTTTGGATTAAAAAAATTGATCTCGAATTCAGCTAACATGATCGAATCTTTTGGCCTCAAATCTCAAATTAAACCAACTTTTAAAAAAAATTGAAATGCACATACAGGGTGTCCTATAACTATTTCAGGTGCCGAAATCAAATAAAACATCCGCTTACACAACAACGTTTATGCTAGCATTTTCCCGCGACTTCGCACGCACTTGATCCCGTTCCCATGGGAATTTCTGAGTACACCTAAATGTCAAGTCTCTATCTTCCACAGTTTCGACTAAAATATAAAATCCGGTTTTTTCCCTTTCCTGTAGGAATTTCGCGAGATCCTCTTTTAGTGCCCCCTACAATCCCTTACCTTTGAATAAGTATTACTTATTTAATGCCCGTACCTATACACATTTTTCTCATTTGAAAACCCTCACCATTATGTATATAGGTTTTCCACATTTTCATGAATAGGGGCCATGATAGTCCTATCCACTAGTCAGGAGAATTAGACTGTACAGTTACAAAATTTTGTTTGGAATAAATGTGTGAGCGAAAGCTACTCAAGTTTTTCTTTGTTTGCAGAAACATTCACGGATGATCCTTGTGGTTGGAATATGTTAGGATTATTAAAAGGTCGCATGGGATTAAATTCGGAAGCAACTTTGGCATTTCGAAATGCCCTACGACTCAGTAGAAAGCAGACAAGAGATAAAGTTGCCATTAATTATGGGCACATACTTTTTAAGTCTCGTAACTACAAGGAAGCAATTAAAATGTTTAATAACGTCGAAGAGGCGACGTTTAATAGCGGAAGTGGTTTGGCTCTTTCTTTGTTTAAAGGTTTGCTTCTTTTATGTTATAAACTGTACTCTGAGGTGTTTCATAGATGAGCAATACGAGGAATCGTACGAAAAATATGATCAGGCTTTGCATTGGTTAACTGAGGAGGAGGGTCACCAGTCGGATTTATTGGTCGCCTTAGCTTCAATTGTTTACATGTTTCAGGGTCCCGATCCGGCGAAAACGCTCTTATTTCAAAGGTACTTTCAAATTTTGTACTGCAATTTAACGGCCTGAATACAATTTTCATCACTGATCTACAATTAACCTTATTTTTTTAGCACTGAATTGAGTCCACCATCTTCATATGGGTTTTATGCTACCTTATCATTAGGCTTATTACATGGCGATCCAAACTTGGCCAATCTTGTTCTTAAGGAATTACACAAGATGCGTGATGTTCCACAGTGCCTGCCCCACTATGCGACCCTGGTTTGCCACACATATGTGTTACAAGTTGTATCTCATATATAGGAAGTAAATGGTGAAGTTAGTGATTTTAGGGCCAGCATGAAACCGCAATTAGAGAAGTATCCAAGCTAATCCATAGACATCCAAATCAAGCATCTTTATGGTTGACACTTTCCATTTTATTGATACGTTCGTATTCTAAACGTTCCCAATCCATAGCAGCCGCAGCCAGATGTGCTCAGCAGGCGGTAAAATTGGGACGAGGCCATATCGATGTAAAAAAGGTAATTTCTTGGACAGTATTACTGAAACTTAAAGTCTTTTAATTTTTAAGGTGCTTTGTATTGCGTCATTGGCATCATTTATTGCGGGTGACCACCAGCAGGCATTGAAGTCGGCGCAAAAAGCTATACACTGTTACCCGGATGTCGCAGAATGCTGGGCAGTTTTTATCCAGAGTGTTATGGTTTTACAAAACAAGAAATCAACATTTTCGCATAAGGAGTGGCTACAAAAATGCGTTAGACATTTTAAAGAAAATTTGGAAAGCTCAAAGTTGCTAAGTACGTGGTTAGATAAAATTATTGTACCAAAGATGATGAATATGCGTTAACAAAGATGTTTGGAGGACAGGCAGAATAAGTGTTTGAAATTGGTTATATTATTATTACCTACGCAAAGAAAGGTTCCGAGCGTAAAGGGTAGGCAAAGGTAAGCGTGCGATAATTGTATTTGCTATGTAGTCAATAAAACATTCAGCGAATTAAGGGTATCTAGTTTTCATTGTTTTTGGATCAGAGATTAATTCTTTTATGCCATTTTGACACTTTATACCTATAACACAACTATTGTAGACTGAGCACAGTAGTAGCCCTAGTTTTGGTGAAAAGGTGTAACAACACTGTCAGTCTTTTTTATAGGAATGGTGGTATATCATTAACATAAATTAGGAAGGTCCCAAAATACTATCTTGAGGCGGCAATTTTTGTCAAAAATATAATTTTAATTTTCCTACGAGCTATCAATTTTCCCTGGAAAGGCCACCTTCGAGTCATGGCGACACATATAATGAACTGACGAGCCATACATTTGACACAATTTATGTTACCATGTACTACAACTACAAACGCCAACGCTCAGTTAAAATATGGTAAAACATATGTATATTTACTTAATAGATACATAAATATTTAATAAATAACGAGTATATTGCTTCAGTCGTTGATGTTCTCATTGGGTGGTTTAACATACACCGGTGCATTTGCTTCCCACCCTACAACATGATCTGTAACCTTAACTTGTATTACATTAATTAACTATTTACCATCTGGAACAGCTAAATCAATGTCCACATCAACAAAATCCGGGTTTAAGCCCAGGTCACTTTCTTCACTCTTTTGAGTATTCACCTCAATGATGTTCTCTATCAATTCGCTACTGTCTTCTTTGGTTTCATCAATCATTATTCTGCTATCTATGGTCCAATTTCTATTAATGTATTTGAATATGTTACGGTTATTACCTGATAATGTTGGGATTGCGACTACTTCTTTGGGAATACATGTGCTAACATTGTATCTCTGAAAATATGTACTTTACTTAACAGACATGTCACAAAATTAATCACAAGAGCTAAAAGAAAGAAAGAACAAAGCGTTTTCTTTAACCAATCGGAGAAAAGCTTGTCTAGAAATGCGGACTGCAATACTACAGTGCAGTTGTTTGTATTAAACTGAAAACGTAAATTACCATTGTCACTTGTATGTCAGGATTGTAGTAATCGTACAGTTTCACATTGGCATCCATTCGCGAACCAATTCTTGAATGTTCCACTATCGTAAATGGAACACAAATAGGTTCATTATCGATCTCAGTAAAATATAAAACGACTCTGTTAATACTCTCTTCAAACTTTTTCACTTCTGCAATTAAAAAAATTAAACTTTGGTCCATGGATGTGTACCCTACTTGACTGATTCTCTTCAACTAATCGAAATAGGGATGCTCTGTCAGGTTCATATCCTGACGGCAACGTGATTTCCAAAATCGCCATGTTTGAGTGTATTGCATTACCTACATAAGATACACAGGCGGACACTACAGCCATTGAACATTGATCACTGCTAGAAACTGAATCAACATCAACAGCCAATTTAAATGCCTCGCTGTTTGCGACACTTTCCAAATTGTAGTCTAAATTGGACTGAATCAGAACACATCCTTTTCCCTCAATTGTTACATCGACTTTATTAGGTAACTTCTTGACGATTTGTTCTTTAGTCTTTAATCGGTCTTTAGACTTGATAATTATTTCGTTTTCTTCCTGCCCAAGTGCGACAGTTACGTGCAAATCTGTTGTAGAGCTGTGCACCAGTAGTGCATACTTTGTAATTGCATCTAATGCGACCACTGTATCCTGAAAAGTCGGTATAAATAAATGAAACTATTAGTGTGGCATACCTGTGTCGATATAAATCCACCATGTCCACCGCGTTGAGACGTTAACCAACGAACGGCCGCATTTGCGTAAATTAAGTTTTCGGTACTATTTTGGTACACTAAGGACATTAAAACGTAGGCTGTCATTTCAATGTTTGTGGACGCTGCACCTGTCGGGAAAATTACACAGCTTTTAATTCAGACAAATCGACAGGTTATATTAAATTATGAAAAAGGGCGAGCGCGCATGCGCACACTAGAAGGGCAGAATTTCTCAGTTTTAAACTAGACGTCTGAAAAACTCCGCGCGAACGTATGCGCAGAGGTAAATTTTTTATTTCTGGACAGATCTTATTAACATTTTAACAGTAGCTCCTATTATTATAACCCGTGAGAAGTTGCGCAAGTGCAAATGCGCAGAGGTAAATTTGTTACTTGTGAACTGACTTGACTGAAATATTAACAGTGGCACTTTTTAGTAAAGGATAATCGGTCGATTATATTAAACTTTTTTTAACAATATGACACTATCACCTCTATCTGAGCAAAGTATAATATTTTTATTGTTTAATTTCGTCAATAGCTTCAGTCTTAATTTTTTTTAGATTCTTTTCAACATTTCAGATTTCTTTGATTCTTCAATTTTTTACCATTTTTAAGTTTTTAGCCATTTAACGAAAATCAGGACAAACCGTTATTTGAAAAGCACCTTCTGTTAAAATTTCAGAAAAATCAGTCAATCGACAAGAGAGTTGGTTCTACGCATGCGCAATTAATGTTTTACAAACCAGCCAATTTTCTTTTTTCTATCGTACCTATCATTTAGTAGCTTCCTCAGTTAAATTGGGGTTTAAATCAAGAACTTTGTCCTAAAATGATCGCTAAAACTAAAACTGAGTTTTGGAGTATAATATTTTATTTTTTGCTATAACTTATTTGTAAGTGCCATACAAAAAATCCTTCCTTGGTGCAAGCCTCTACACCATAACGAACCAATAAACAGTGAAAAAAGTAGCGCAATAGAGAAGACCTAATTTTATAGTGACACAACCGTAGGGACAAAATTGCCACAATAGCGCATTTTTTATTTTTGTGCGCTAAAGAAACTTCTTTTGGACTATATTTGATTTGCGCTTACGCAACTATTTTTTAATGAAACGGATATGTTCAAATATGTTTGTAATTTCGTGAAGATTGAGATGTCTACATACAAAATTTGATTTAAATATCTTAAATTAAAAAAAAACGGATTGCGCTATTATATTCGTTATGGCTGGCTGTCCGGCTGAGATCTCAGCAATTACAATAGTTAGAGACTTCAAAATTTCACTAAAAGCTTTCTGCTAGTGTAGATGTGTAGGCTCTAGTCTATTTGAGATGAAATAGATAATTTTAAACTTCGCTAATAAAATACTGATCGATATTACCAAAAATGCGTTTTCATCATACATGCTGATTTACAACTTGTTTGCTCTGAGACGTACTTGAGGAAGAACACCCTCAATCAAGGGGACAAGAGACACATTGATTTAAGTGATAAATTGCATGCATACCTGATGAACTCCACCACACCAAATTGTCTTGTTGCGTAGCTACTTGCAGAAGCTTGCTCAAGCAACGCTTGGCCTCACTTTCCCATCCAATTAGAGACAATGCATAGGTACTTATTGCCAGAGTATATTTATCAGGGGAAAAGTGGCCCCTTATACAATATTTTGCGTTAGTTTTCACTTTTTCACTTAATTCAATTCCCGATTCCAATAAACTAATAATGACATACGACGTCAACGCCGCCGTGCTGTTCTCAGTAAGCGTACCACCCTAAAACAACACTTAAAGTAAGCAAAGAAGTGATATTTCAATTTAAACCATGTCGTGGAAAACATGCGAGATTGTCGCAAAACACCCATTCTCAAGCTGATTATTGATAATCCACCGTACTGCGTTATTAATAACGTTTTGGTCAATATAAACATACTCTTTGGATTGTTGCAGGACTTTAACCACAAATGCTGTTAAAAACGTCGATCCAGACTGGTCATGGTAACCGAACGCCGAAAATGAGCCATCGTTGTGGACGTAATCCAGAATTCGTTGATACCCTGAAAGGACCAAGGTATCTTTTACACAAAATCCGTGCATGCTTACCAATTTTAAGATTACGCCTGGCACGTTGTTGCAGTGAAGGTGTTAAACTTCCTGTTGCTTTCAAATATTGTAAAATGAAAAGGTTGGGCGCTAGAGTTGCCATAATTTGTTCACCGCAACCAGTTGGCACAACGAGTAGTTTTTCCAAATTCTACAAGGATTCAATGTTTCTTGGATCACTGATACTGTATCTTACATGAATTGTAGGTCCTAACAGATCACCATTAATAACTAACTTCGCTTTAGCGGAATTTTCAATCATATCTGTCGGTAATTCCAATGGCCAGCTGATGTTGTTAATTTGAGTTGTGTCTACAAGGAACTAAAATTTTCATGGGCGACATTGAAATAGTAATTTTTACCGTTGGTGCATAGAATAACTGACTTGGTAATGGTCACGGGATGCCCTTCTGCTTCAATAACTACTTCTTTTGCGACCATGTCTCTAAGTAAATTATACATAGTTAATGCATAACAGTACAACACGTTGCATAAAGAAGGAAGGGATATGAATTAAGGGCGACCCGATTAGTTTACGAGTTGTGAACTCGATTATACTCGGCGAGGTAAATCATGAAGTGGGGTTTGCAGATTGAAATAATTGATTTGACGAAAATAGTGATCTCACTAATACCTTCTATTTATGATGACTTCAGGTCCACATTCCTCAGGGTAGGACGATTCGATTTCCGCCATTACGTTTATACTCGATTTGCCAAATATAAGTCCTTGCAGTGTAAACAGCACCGTTTTGCTTTCTCTAGCTGAAATACAGTGAACTTGGCTGCGTTTTTCAGTGCCTTCTGGCATAATCAATCCATCTGAAAATCCCAACGTAACTCGCACCTAATTTAAATATCGTATGCATTCAGAACTGAAAGTGCTATACTCACAGGTAGGCTATGATTTAAGTAATTGTATAGTATTACATCTAAATGTAAATACTCATAACGTTTAATGGAAGGTGGCGACACCACTTCAACGAAGAACGGTAAAAATACAGTTATCTCAGTAGGTCGACTTATTCCAACCCCTAATTTTTGTGAAATACACAATGTGTTGGTTACCCAATTTGTTATTGTGTGTGGTAAGTCTCTAGAAATTTTAGTGTGATGTTGTCTACAAAATAACGTACAGAGATCCTCATGCATTGACATCGTTCTTTTACCCAATGGGAACCAACTCCCACAACCAAGTCTCCGGAAAGAATGATCTTAAATGACTTCCATAGCTATCCGCATTGATGTTGTAGTACGACTCTGGCATAGAATTTGACAAAAACTCGGCAGCTGCAATAAACTCATCGTTCTGCAATTGATTGCATATATTTTTACTTACCCCTCGAATCGGGTAGGTTACTGCTTTCTGCCGGTTCATGAATCATTAGTGGGCCTACAATTGATGTGTGTAGGAAGGCAATTATTGTACTTTGTTTGTACACTTACTTACCATCTTGTAAACACGGTTTCATAATTATTTTCATGTTGGTTATAACGACAACTCCAAAACTCTGAAAGAATTGTAAATATTCGACTGTCCGTGACCTTTTTCTTGAGCATTTATTATTTATTTTGAAATTATAGTAAAGAAAAGATTACCATGAACAAGTGTTTAGAAGCCGTTTATCATTACTATTACCTACTATATGTTGCAGATACTTGATGAGAAAGTTTTGAGGAGTTTCTGTTTTAAATAGAATGATATATTATGCTGTTTTGTTTGTCTCTTGGGGAAAAGATCGATTAGCCATTTATAATCGATTAATATTCATCATAATCGTTTTCCGTTTTTATGAGAATCGACTATCAGATAATCAATCATTGTTATGATATTGATTGGTCGATCAATCCAATATTGGTATTGATCAACTACGGGAATGTCAGATTCCATAGTATCTTCATGTTCCTCAAAGTCTTCAGATTTCTAAGATTTTTAGTATTGTGACGTAAATTTAATTACGTGGTTTTATTTATTTAATTTACAATAAATGTAGAACATCACACGAATGCTAGCACGAACGTATCAATGTAGGAACTGAACTCGAAACACAATTCGATATGTTTATGTAGCAAACAACAGGCTTTCTAAAATGTTCTCAAGTGCTCAAGGACACTTCCGAATGTTCTCAAGCAAACACGTCATATTTCTAGTAAAGTCACATTCGCCTTTGTTCTTTATCGCTGATGACTAATCTATCATGGCGCCTCGTTGTCTATCGAGATTTTTGGACTGTTTGGTACAGTATCATAAGATTATTAAGGTCTATGATGATTCTATACAATGAGTGAGCAACAAAATTTGGATTCAGAGTTGGCCCCTGTATCGTGTAATTTTTTTGAATTTTTGGTTTTATGTTTGAATGGGCGGGGTATCAGGCAAGGCTGCTCTACCAACCCAACCCCCTATCCTATATAACTATATAACTAGGGACCCTTAGTACCGCAGTCCAACTTCAACTGAACCAAACGAAAGGCGACCGTTATTATCAATTATTTACAAAAGTTGATTATTTAACATTTCATAATTCAATTTATTAACTTAACATTAACTTGTAAGTACTTATAATCGCACACCCTTTCCTTGGTTAGGTATACTACTTAGTAACATAATACAGATGCATATTTAAAAAAAAATGCACTATTTGGAATTCTTGGAATTTTTGCTTTTTTTTTTAATTTTTCTGAATTTGGGTTTGTGTACTTAACTTTATAGTTTTCCGGCTTCAGGGAACAAATTGAATTCTGTTCTGGTTTTACGTGAGTTTTTGAATTTTTTTTGGATTTGCATATATTCGAATATTTTAATGTTTTCTTTCCATTGCTGCTGGTTTCATATTCACATGTTCATGGTACTTGTTTCTTATTCAATTAATAAATGTAATTGCTTCAAATATTAGCAACCACCATTATAATTATGAGGTGACATCAAATTCATGTAAATAGTAAATTATGGCAATAAATAACAGTAATAATTACATCAAAGGCTTCAAATGTATCAAACTGATTTGATGAACTCATTCCATAATCCCTTTTACTCCTTTTTCGTGGACTTTCTTCTGCCGCAATTACTACAAATTAAAATCCTTATTGTATTTTTACAACTGCAGTGCGTTAATTCTTTCACTTATTAATTGTTTTAAGCTCATTTGTGGTGTTACATGTACATTTGCGATTTTTTTACTCTGGAAATTAACAAAGTTTATTTTCTTCAGATTTTTTATCAAATGGTCGTTACATATTGGCACTAGATCTGACCTTACCCCTTGATACTTGATACTTTGACATATGCCTGATGGCATCGCCGCGCCGCCTCCTCCATGATATAGTCAACTGTCATGGGGATGCGTCCCTGATAGGCACTATCAGGGGCGTTTCACCACTACTTTTGTTGCCATCGCGCTGGGACGCGACATATGCCAAACAATGGAGGATTGGGGGGGGGGGGGGGTTGTGGGGAGGCTAACTGGGTGTTATATGACCCGAAAGTACTAAACTTATTTTCCATGATTTCAATTGGCAACATCATGGGAACCAACCACTTTGTGCCACATTTCCGGGTACACACAAAACAAAAGAATCAACCATTTCGATTGATTAAGATGAAGCACTCATAGGATGTTCAAATAGAATGTAACACCCCAAAATTACTCCATATAATTTTGATACTGGCCCAACTTCTTACCTGCTGATTTCTTCTGAGAGCGAGGTAGGCAATTTAACTTATTCGAATGTTTTGGTGCGTGTTCAACTAAAAACGATTCTAAAAGTGCCTTAATGCCCAACTGTGTATTCTGAGCGACCGCAACTGCTTTATCAATTGCAGTAACTGCGCACAACGATTGTGGAGAAGTTTTTATGGTAAATGATGCTTTTTCGCCTGGATAATACTGACGGCTCGAAAATGAGGTTTCTACCTAAAACAATGTGTGCATTTCTCATTTTAAATCGCTTTAAATACCTTGTTCATTAGGCAATTATGGATTGGGACCTCCAAGTTTGCAGCAACTACTTCGCCATTTTTCAAAACGTGGTATATAATTACTTCATACCTGGCAATAATATTTATGTCCATTTTAAATTTTAGCAGAAACTTGCTAGAAGAGGCTTCTCTCTTGGTATACCTGTGTGTGCTACCAACTACATTTGCCAGCTCTGTGAAATTAAATAAACGGTGTTTGTGTATAACACCATTTATTGTACCAATTCTGTGAATGTTGTTACGTGCTTTGATCTAATATGAAACACAGATTTTATTCTGTGAACTTTTGCAGAACGCCTTACCATATAATGAAAATCGATTCGTTCGTGATTACGTAACTTAGGTATGGCATAGTGAATTGTAAATTGTTGCAGTTCTTTGCATTTTGCGATTCCTCGGTGCGTCTGATCTATTCGAATGTAACTTCCACTGTGAGAATGCCAACGGTTAAGTGTAAGGTAGGCGTTAATTTCTTTACGTAAAGCGTCTGGGTATTTCTGTTCTCTTTTCCACTCTAGCTGCAGAGTATGGTTTAATGATTTGGCCTACAATTAAGTGCCTCGTCAATTTAAAAACCAAGATATTAGCAGTTTTGGTGCAGGACAATAACTCTGTTCTAGTCATACTTACATATAACCGTATTTGAATGATATTATCTTTTACAGGAAGTATGTTAAAAGAAATGGTATTGTCTCTGCCAAAAGTAAAATTCGAGCACTGTTTAATGTCCACAATGTTCCAAATTTTTTCTACTGCAACATTGTAACAAACTACAATGGTTTCACCACTGAGTGGAACAAAATTTTCTACTGCTCTAATTAGTCCATAGTATGGCAGTCCGGGTTGAAAGTGCCTATGGGTATCGATAAACTTCAACTTAAACGGATGGTTAGTAATTGTAATACTAGAAGTTATGGTTTCCGATCGATCCGAACCCTTCTCTGTTATTGTTGCTATTACATTTATGTCTGTGTTGATATATTGTTTCAAGTTTAGTTCCTCATTGGAAAATTCAATACGTGAGCATCCATTACGCAACTGAAAATACAGGTAGTTTGTGTTTACATGAAAATCAGTGGACATACCTGTTTAGCTTTGTTGATCGTCTGACGGTTTTCGTTCATTGTGATTCTAACCATTCCTATTCCTTTGACACTTTCTCCATAGAAGTACCTTTAACGTATACTATGTAATGTATATATTCACAATTAGAGACATACTTTCCACATAAATTAAATTTCACTCTGTGTGCTCCCGAGTAAATTTTTTGTGGAGTTTTCAAATTTATTGAAAATCGTGGTAAAACATAGTTACTGACCTCAAACGTTTTTGATGTTTCTATTAAATCAATCATCCATTTTCCCTAAAAATAATTGTTTCTTTTAATATATCCATTGAGGCCTAAGTAAATTACACGCAGATACGCTCGCATGGACCCTATGTGATTTACTGTCGTGAAAACAAGTACCACTTTCCATACGATTTTTCGTTAAAAAAAGTTCGATAATTTCATCACTATGTAAAAAACGAAATTTTGTATATTCGAGAACATGAAAACGAAACAAGGTAGTTCTTAATTTGTAATTTGTAAATATTCTTCAACTGCAACAAGGAAAAATCATGATTTCAATTTGATCCGACGCTCAAAACATGGCATTAGAAAATTCCTTTAACATTTTATTGAGATTCACATAGGCCTGATTGTACCATGATAGCTCATCTTCTGTTCACTTGATTGGCCAAATGAAGAAATTTTATTGGTTGCAATTCAAAAGCTCTCTACATAATCAAAATTTTTAATTATGTCAGTCATATGAACTGAAGTTGAACTGTCGTAGTACAACCGGCCCATATAACAGAGGTCCTATAATAAAAAAAACAGGCTGTTTCAAATTAAGTCAGCACTATTGCTCATTTTCTTAGTTGTTGGGTTAGAAAGACTGTTAAATTACCAAAATTGTATATTTTTGTCTACTGATTCCAAAACTGTAATAAAAAAAACAAAACAACTTCGCATTTAGATAGTATCAAAAAAGTAACTTTTAATATGGAACACCCTGTATATTATTACGTCACATGAAGACTATTAACTTCTCTACAAAAGTCAATTATTTTCGTTTCGATCTAGTTATTATCCATGAAAATGGTAAAAATGTTTGTTATAAAGTATGTGACCTCCAACTTGAAAGTTTATTACATAGTGCTGTTTAAGTTCACTTTCATGCTTTTTACGCGCCTTTTACTGAAGAAAATAAAACGTTTTTGTCTTTTGCACACCTTCTTTAACATAGGTAGGTATCTGTTGTAACATATGTAAGTTATTTTTATAGGTATTACAGTACTATATACGTTTGTTTATTTTCATTTATTAATGAATAAACAATGGTATTACTTAATTTCACCTGTTATTCTTGTTTTGAATACTATTATGTATTTTTATCATTTTCATGGATAATTAGATCCAAATGAAAATAATTGAAAAATCTTGGTTATTTGAAGTATTTTAGATATGTTGTATTAAGTGTGTATTAAGAACTTTTGTAGAGAATTTAGCTGTCAAATGGTATACTAACATACAGGGTATTCCGTATAAAAAAGTCACATTTTTGTTATTATCTGAAAAATGTGATGTTTTTTTTAACTACATATTTGGATTCAGTAGAAAAATTCACACTTTTCATAATTTAACCGTCTTTCTCACTCTACAACTAAGAAAGTTGGCAATAGTGCCAACTTAACTTGAAACGGACTGTAGGTATAGTTTTGTTCCGAAATAAATAAAGATTGTAGTACATGCTCAACAAATTTCATGAAATTCGTGTCATGTACTGTGTGGTCCAGAATTACAGTTCGAATTTTTTATCCGAATTTTCAATAAATTAATTGTGGTTTATTATCGTGCTAAAAAAGACCCGGCACTTTGTTCTTGGTAGCCATGAATTTGTAAGGCTGTCTGATTACACCAATAATTATCAGATTTTATAATTTTAATTGTGACTATAGCTCTATCCATAGAAGCCGCCATTTTTAGAATCTTAATTTTATACTTAAATAAATAATGGCTTACTTTTGTAACATCTGGTGGCAGTTGGTGCTCAAGTTGTACCAGACCCAATTCCGTTGGAATATTTTCCCAAATCGTGACTGTGATTCCATTGGGATTTAAAATTTTAATAACTGGTATCTACAAAACCAAAATATTATTTTACCTTATAAGCAGAAGTAATTTTTTTAGATGTACTTCAAAATTTCCATTTGCGGAATCTTTGTTTATATAAACAAAGGTTGCATTAAATAGTAGTAAATTACAAAAACAGGTAAAAATAGATAAGTGATATTATAATATAGGCATTCTTTTAAATTTTAAAATCCTATTTCATGGAGCTCCACTGAGGTTTTATGGAACAATAATAAGTACAACCTGTTTATATTAAATATTTAGTCAATATTTTTTTCATTAATATTGTCCAGTGTTGGTGTTGATATCAATAAAATTTAGGAATTACAACGCATATCTTCTGTTATCTGTTGATATGACTTAAAATTGTACTAAGCTATGGTAAGTGTGTTCCATTTGCTACTACAATTTTTGATACTACCAAAAGAATATTTGTCACCATTATTTACACAACTTGGTCCCAATTTGATCAACACCAGGTGGAGTTGTAATCTTGTAGTGAGTGTAAAGATGAACATCATTGTCATTTGATTTAGGAATTGGATGAAGTACATTTACAATATAATTATTTTACCTACAGCATGTTTAATGGGTGCCTTCAGATCCGGTGTCAAAACCAAAATTCGTATTTTGACCTTATCATTTGCCTTGTAGATATTTTTGTCCGTTTCTATGAAGATTATATTGTAGCCAGGATAGATCAGTACTGGTTCTTGTGTATGACCGGAATGCAATTTTCCATTTGCGTGAAACTGCATGTGCAAACTTGCAAATTGAGCAACTTTGACGTGCGATCGGAGTTTAGGAACTGCGATAGGGAAACATTCGTGATCTGTAATTTATAGTTGAAGTTCATCACACTGTAGCTATAAATACAAACTTATCGCAAGTTATTAGCATAATACTAAAATTGTGATAACACTATTTAGGGCAATTGAAAAGAGTATGTAGAGGTCATGGATGGATAAGTTAATTTAGCAAGTTTAGTTTAGAAAGCGGTTCTCACCTGAAGACATCAAGTGTGTGGTTGAGTGATGTTTTTCTCTAATTTTTATTTCTACCTTAACTTCTGGAGGCGGGATTGTATCATGTAAGGAGAGACAAACTGTTTCATTTTGTCCAGCTATTAGTGTTTTCGGAGATGTAAATATAAATCGCGATTTTCCTCTTTTCAAATAATCACTGAAATTCCTTACGTTTGGATTTTAATTTCTAACTGCCACTATTACCTACCTGTCATCATCACTCCATGCATATTGCATAACAGTAAGTAACACTAAAAACTTGCTTAAATCTTTCATTGTCTCTAGCACTGTCATTAGAAAAAGCCACTCATGTTGCAATGGAAGTGTTTATGAATATTAACGATTTGTTTCCTTTATGAACTTTGACATGTATATGGCTTATCTTATTACTTGGTTAGGGATTAATACCCTTTCTACAGTCTATGATAAATGACATACCATACTAGAATTTAAGGTCAAACTACTACAATACGTTAGCAGTAATAATACTTATTGAAAAACAATGTCGTTTTGTTTTTTTTGTCGGAAATGATAAATGCATGTTATCAATCTGCTTTTGTTTGAAGTTTTTCATTTTCAACACACTTCCGGAACTGTCTGTTCTTTAATCTCAACTGATATCAATAAATTATATTTTAATATTTGACCATTGAGCTTCGAAAATCGTGTATAGACACATGTTTCATTTCAAAAAAATTGAGTGAAATTATACAGAAATAAAAACTGCAGTGTATTAAAATAACATCATACCCATTATTTGTAATCGCATATCATTTCTGTAATCATTAATTAATTCTGAAAAAACCAGTAAAGCAATGATGAAGTAATCGTAAGTGACGATTGCAAGACAAAGAGCGCGTCTTTTTCTTTCTTTCTTTTTTTTTGCTTCAATGGCTACATAAAATGTTTTCTCAATTTAAATAGAAGACTAATTTTTATTGTTGTTACATGAACAACCTTCATTCTTAGATGCATTTTGTCAAACTCTCAGTTACTAAAAATTAGTGATGGGTATGCATTTGGTATATAATAGATATTAGTGTTATTGTGAGAGGAATATCTGAATTTTGAAAAATTTGTTACTATTTTCATTTCCTACCCCACAGCGCTGGTACAGAAAATTGTAGATCTTTGCCAAATCACAGACGCCGTTTTTCTTACCCAGATAAGCACATTTAAAGAAGCGTGTATAGGAATCAGACGACTTCATTATTGTTATATGCCATACAGTGACCGAATGTATTCTAAATATCAATGGAACATTCCATATTTCAATTATTAGAATAAGGACTTTCAGGGAAAATTATTTTGTCACTATAGGTAACAATGATGAAATGATTCCTCATTGCTGGAGGCATAGTGTCATGACGACGTCTATTTACAAATGAACAGGGGATATAAAAATTATGTAGGGGAATGAACCTTTACCTCACATACCGGGAACGAATCATAGACAGAAGGGTAAGGGATATATGGTAATATCTGAAGGTCGGTTTGTTTTTATGCCTCGAATGAGCACAACGAACACCTTAATTGTTTATGGATGTTATGTACGAGTGGAGTTGAGAAAGATCAAAAGGGACATGGCAAGAAACTAGTGATTCAAAGAGCAGGGAAAGGTTGTGGAGGTTGAGAAAGAGGATGGATTTGTAGATAAGTGGCCTTGGCGAAGACCTAAAGGAAGATGGATAGACTGTGTAGAAGATAATTTGAGGAAGCAAGATTTAAGATCTGTGGACATTGGATATCAGACTGGATGAACGAAGAAAGCGAAGAACAGTGACCCCTAAATAGTGTAAGCTGAAGATAAAGAAGAAATTTATAAATATAATAAAAAGTTGCATTTCGCTGAAAATTCGAGGGTAATCTAAACAGTTTCGACTATGATGTTGCGACGAACTTTGGTACCTCGTACAAATGGCGTTAAATTTCGAAGAAGAGAACTAATCAGTACAATTAATAACAATAAAAAAGTTTACTTTGACAGCGTAAATTGTTCATAATCTTATTAGACTTTACTTTACAAATCAACCGCAGTAGCCGACGGGGCGGTGCGGTAGTCTTGGCGCAGTGGTACGGAATCTTGAGCGTTACCAGGAGTTTGTCAACCCTTGCTCCTGGTCAAGATCGGTCGGAAATTCGAAAGCCAGGGATAAGTCGGCTGGAGACAAACGGTCAATTCCAGAGTTCGGAAGGTTGGTCACTGGCAAAGAAGTTAAAACACACGGAAACGGCAGTAATTTCTCTAAGCGGGAATGATATCGACTAGCTACGGGAAAGCGCAACAAAGGAAAACAAACTCCATAAATCGATCTAAAAGTACACGCGTGCAAAACCGAAAAATGCAAAATAATCCCCTTCAAATCATGCTGTTACCTTATATAAAATTCCCAAAATGCGAAAAGGGAACATCGGACTTTCCACCCGGCCGGCGCGGCGTACGCTTATGATAACGTTCAAAAATTAAAACTTCGTTCATTAATTTCTCGCCTGTTATCATACACATCTGAGACCAGTCTTAAAATTCATGTTATTTAAGCGCGCTTCCAACAATACCAAACACGACGCATTTCGTTTGCTGCAATACAATTGATTAACTACGATTACTATACATTTATACTCAATTGGGCGCGGATTAAAATTCGGTAGTCCAGTACCGCCCAGTATTAATTGGAATTCTCGGATGAAGCAAGAAGTCGGCTTATCTATCGTACTACGGCGACCTTGTCCGATTTTGTCGTATAGTTTTAAATTAACGTAATAAACGGAACGGAAATCATAAAATATTAATTTTCTCTCGTCTTCCAAATGACGACAGGTTTTGGAGGCTGCAAGAATAATTAAAATATCTCATGGGAACAATTAGATACGACATCTTATTTTTCTTATGGGCGGTTAAATCGACGCTACAAACTAAAGCACTTTAAGTTCTATTATCGATTCCGAGAAGATAACTAGGTCTGGAAAGCTACAGTTCTTCGTAATCAAGTGCTCGTGCGAGTTCGTCCATGTACCGAGTGTTCATTAAAGCTGGTTGAAATCATATGCGAAAATGGGTGCTTCGTTAATACAATATTCCTTAGGTTCCATCTGCTGCCACTAGCACGTTGACGATTTTTTTAAGAACATGCAGCGCACGAATGTCGATTCTCTCTTAACCCTATACCTCAGAAGAACAACCACGAGTTTGACGCCATGCAAGTGCAAAGAGAAATTGTCTACATTTCTGTAATTACTGACATGTACATAGATGGCTGTAATAGACTACATAAAATTGTCTGTACTTGTTCATGTCTGTTATTTTTGGATGTGAGCCAGGACCATCCTTTTGAGCTTCCTTCCATGCACATTTTAAATTTTGAACATTGTTTTTTTTTTATTGAAATTAGAGTATTCGCGATTTAGATTGACAGTGAGACTTCTGGTAGCAGCACATAGTAATTCAGTTGCAATCAATGTAATTGCACCTTAAGGAGCAAGGATGGTTTTATTTATAATATTTTATCACGCTACTTTCAAGAATTTTAATTGCGATCAGTGCAATTATGTTATCAACAATAAGGATAATATTTAAGAAATCTTCGTTAACGCGTTGCTTCGAGCGTCGCGTCGATCGTAAAACAATCTAATATACGGGGTGTCAATTTTAAAACTTGCAGTCGGCCATATTTTCCAAACAAAAGAAGATACTGAAAAACGCGCAAAACCGTTTCGGGGGTATCGAGCGGGAATCAGAATGACGTTATGAATGTTAACCCTCCTGCCCCCCCTCTTCAAAAATCCTAAATGGCAACCCCATACTTAATGCTTTCCAGTGGTACCAATAAAGTCAATATTCATTAAGACAATTTAACAAAAATTTAATAATTAACAAAGAAAAACTAAATGTTGACATTGAGGGATTTATGACAAATTGGCCAAGAACTTAAACCTGAGCTGCTTCATTAAGCAGTCTCGGTTGCTTTCTTGCAACACACTTGTCCGTTCCGACACGTTACCAGCGACGGCGCCAGGGGCTGGGGGGCACGTACCCAATCTGTTAAGCAGAGTGCCCCTGCATCAAATTTTGACTTTTTTTAAAACTTGTTTTAGTGAATAATCGAATAAGTAAATGTCTTGTTACGGTATGCCAATTTTTTTTATTTGCTGTAGAATCTACAATGTTGGTGCCGACCTTAAGAAGATTGGGACCAATTTATGCCCACCTATCTCAGAAACACTGACGCCGTCGCTGCACGTTACGGACCGTTAAAAAACGTTGAACATAAAAGACATTGAATTAAACGTCTCTGCGCACATTAGCCCGTTCCTTCACGATTCCTTAAGTGTGTGTTAACGCGAACCGTCGCGTTGACGGACAAATGTGCGGCAACCTATTATTCGTCACATAATAGTTCATTCATATTCGAGTAGTTCTAGTGTATCAAAACTCGAACTACTGTCAAAGAAAAACCTAAATTTAAAGGTTATATTCAATCATCGTTTATACTGTTGAATGCCATGGATTTTAAATAGTTCTCATAATTTTTATCCGGAATGGGACTCGCCTGGCGATACTTCTTATTCCTGTTATGGTTTTCCTACTTTTTAATATCGGCGATATTACTATTCACCCATGGTTTTCTGTTGACAAGACTAGCTCAGCCGCTAAACGCTACATGCTTTCGATACTCTCCTAGTTGTTCGTTAAATCAAAATCAACATTTAGGTAGTAAACTCCCCGACGATCAGTGTAACGAAAATTTGATGAATTACCTTCACGATGCTTCTCATATGTGCCTTCCACCAAAGGCCAAAGTTATTCTAGTTATAATTGATGCACTTCGCTACGATTTTACAAAATATGATGGGAGTATTTCAAAACCGCTACCTTTTCAAAATAAATTGCCGGTTATTAATATGCTATTAGATAGCAACCCCACATCTACAAGACTGTACAAGTTCATTGCTGATCCTCCGACCACGACGATGCAAAGATTGAAGGCTCTAACAACTGGCAGTCTTCCTACGTTTATTGACGCCGGCTCTAATTTTGCTACATCGGAAATTAACGAAGACAACATTATTGATCAGGTTATGTCTGTGCTGTTCCTTTAAAGTATGCTAAATTAAGTGAATTGCTTTAGCTTCTAAATCATTTGGGGGAAACCGTTTTTTTGGGAGATGACACTTGGGTGTCTTTGTATCCCAGAAGATTTAAACGAACATATCCCTTTCCATCATTTAATGTGTTCGATTTGGACACTGTCGATAATGGAATTGTAAATAATTTATACACAGAAATCGAGAAGAAAGACTGGAACTTATTAATTGCTCACTTTCTCGGAGTGGACCACTGTGGGCATCGTTTTGGTCCAATGCATTCTGAAATGGCCAGAAAATTGACCGAGATGAATCAAGTGATACAGTGAGTATGCCATATGAAATATTTCGTATGTGTATTTAATATTTTTATTTACAGCAACATTGTAGAATCATTAGATAATTCTACCATCCTGATTGTAATAGGAGATCACGGAATGACCTCAACAGGTAGGTAACTTAAAAACATCCTCGAAAACATCTAAAGTTTTAAATATAACAATATCGAAAAAAGTGTTACAAAAAAGTTTTGGGGGGTTCTTCAATGTCTACTAGAACTAGGCAGTAATAATTTTAATTATACAGGGTTGTTCATAAAACTGTGGCACAAACAAATTGTATTTAATGGAAACATCTTGTGCATTATTTGATATTTCAATTCTCTTAATTTTAAACAAAATTTGCAAGAAGCACAATGTGCAGAAATTCAATCGTTTTTGGGTTATCGAGTTTTGAAAATAAACGCTATTTTTGTGGTTTATGAAAACGAAGTTATGCACAGCCCCACACAATCTTCCTCTATGGAATCATATTTGCCTACATACTCTCTCATTAAATAAAAAAGTTATTGTCTGAGTGTTGTGTTGGTTGCGCATTACGTACACAAAAGCCATAGTATCATTGCTCACATTTTCAGTTAAAAGGAAGAACGGTCATTAATATAAGTTTCTTGTAGGTGACCATGGTGGTGAAAGTGATGATGAAGTTACTTCTGCAATGTTCGTCCATTCAAAGCTAAAACTAGTATCAACCGAGCATAGTTTTGACAATGAGACAATCAAGCAAATCGATTTTGTTCCTACATTGTGCACAATTTTGGGAATACCAATACCATATTCCAATTTGGGCTCATTAATTATGGACGCCCTTCCGATCTCCAATACCGCTCTACCTTTTTCACAATGGCAAATTGATTTGTTCGCAGCATGGTCTAACATACAGCAAATGACAACATATATTAAACAATATGCGACAATAAGTGAAACGTTTAGCCAGGAAAAGTTGCAGAAATTATACGAGAAATTCGCTTTACTCAATGCCCGTGTTCGCACCGTCAGTAGTGAAGATGCTTACAAAGTTTTCATGCGACATGCGAAAGATTATAAAATTTTAATGAGGCAAATGTGCGAAGAGGTCTGGATACAATTCGATTCGTTTTCAATGTCAAGAGGATTAGTACTCACATTCATGGCTGTTTTCTTGATATACATGGTAGTAAGCGGTATCCCAGCTAGTCAACTACCAGAGATATTTACTAGTTCATTTATACCATGTTCTTATATTATGCTATTTATTGCTGCGGTAATTGCCAGTGGATGCTTTTACTACAACTTATCGGATAATTTACTGCCAACAGTGTACTTCACTACAGGATTGGTGTCCATATTTATGTTAGCAGTTTTGGTTATTCAAAATTGGGAAGCTATTTCAACGCATTGGTACAATTTGAGCAAAAACAGATCGGTTGTCGATTTGCTCTACCGCTTAATATTCCTGCTGTCTTGGTGTGGATTGCTTTCTAACAGTTACATTGTTGAAGAAGGAAATTTAGCCATGTTTCTGTTAATTTCTGTCACTTGCCTTATTGTCTGTAACAGTGGCGCAGTAAGTACAATTTTATATATTTTTCTATACCATTTCAGGCCACATTAGGGGAAGTGAACTAAAAGTGCCTATTTAGCACAATATTCTAGTTAAATGATTAAAGATTATTTTAAAAAAATGTTGCAAAGTATTTTTTAAATTGATGCAGGTGATTTTTTTGAAGAAGTTGAAGAACTGTTCGACAGTTGTGTTTTTAAATATGCACATAAAGTGTCTCCTTCAAATTTCATGAAATTCTGAGCATTTTTGTGACCCAACTAAAAATTTTCGTTGGGATTTCTTCAAATTTTTTAATTTTGGATTTGTTGTTATCACCCACAGATAAGTACCAAATTTCGTCGAGATTAGAATTTTTTTCGCACCCTCATTTAGGGATGTACCATCTTGGTTAGGAATTTTGGAAATATTTTTACAAAATTAGATTAGGCACACCCCAAAATAAAGTGGCGTTAGTTGCTAAGAAAAAAACCAAAAAATATTTTGAAACTTTTGGGGCCTCTCTCTTATCCGAGCTTTTATGACCCATTTTTTTATATACTTAATTTTACACCCTGTATAGCATATTCCATGTAAAAAATGTGGTATGGGGTAATGCACAGTGTCATATCAACTGCGTAATTGTGCAGGAATCAAATTTGGTACACATATCCATGAGCATAAAAGGGAAGAATCGCGCATGCGCAGGTGGTATCTGTGCTATCCACAGTAAATTTTTTTGTCATTGATATCAAACATTGATAATTAACCCAACAAAAAATACGACTTCAGTTGAGTTGTAGTTTCATCAGTAGGGCAAATTTTCTGAAAATGTTATCTGTATTTACTGTGACTAAAATACCAGCGATTTGGACCGCACAGTGCATTTGATGGCTTTACTTTGGCAGTTTCAGTGCAAATTACTCTTAGATCATATATACATTGATGTGGCTTCCCATCTACTTTCAATAAGGAGCATCTGTGCCAACATATCTAACAAAGACAGAGACATATTTTACACTGTAGTAGAACACCGCACATGCGCAGTAGCATACGAATGTAAACAGCTGATAACCATAGGCGTCCCAAAAATGGGTCACTTCATATTATATTATTATTAAGTTACGCATAGAATGAATTGCACTTTTTGGTCTGCTACGTTCACTACTAATTACACCATTTTAATTATACTTTCGTAAAAACTACTCCCATTTTCTACTGTCTACCATAAACCCCTTTATGTTCTCTGGAAATAACACGCCAATGAAATGCCGAGAATCTCAATTTGACAGACAACTCAATGCGCATGCTCAGTATTCTATTGTATAGCTATCTCTCTCACATATATTGGAACAGATTTAATGGCTGAACGCTATATCTATGGAATATATATGATCTAAGAAATTACCCCTCCTGTGATCTGTGTTTTGAAAAAAATATTTATATAAATGCATTACTAACTGTAGAGTGCCATTTTTAAGTAGAAATAATCGTATGTATTTTTTTCTAGAAAAAGACAATTTCCTTTAATTCCAAACTGAAGACCAATTGGCCAAAGTTGAAAGCGCTAGCGCTGTTCCTCATCATTGCGTGTCTGATACGTTTGTCCACACTGTACGGCAGATGTAGGGAAGAACAGAGGTGGTGTTTACAATCCCCATATGGCGAAGGAGCGAAGAGAGCCCTTCGATCAGAAAAGGCTGACTACCTCATATCTCTGGTAACCGTTGCTGTATTTGTAACCGCAACGCGTAATTGGCTGAGAGCCTGTGGTAACTTGTCGGGTTACTCGCTGCAAGTTTTACTGGCCAGGTACGCCCCGACTGTTATCGTCGTTGCCATTGGCGGATTTTGGGTGTTACACAGATTGCCACAGGAAGCAAAGAGTAAGATCACCTCAGGCATTCAATCGGACTCCCTAGCTTTGGTTGTATATGGGTCTGTGATAGCCGGAATCGGTAGTATCATTGTTAAACCATTATGCATTCAAATTATAAGGACCAAAGATACATCAACTCAGAACCAAACTGTTCCCCATATCTTTAATAAAGTTAAAGGCTTATTTAATAGTACCAAAGCTGAAAGTGACAATTTGAATGTACCCATTGTGTGTGGTTTAGGCACAGTGTACAGTGCCACCTTTACCATTATTGCAGTATATCTTACTTTACTCATTGTGTTGTTGCTTGGAGATGTAGTGGCACCATCGGCTGTTTTGTTATATTTCTCTGCAGCACTTATTTTGGTTGTAACTGCGATGTCACGGATCGAAGGAGGGCCTAATACAGGTAGAGACGAGGGTAATTTTATGGTATTACTATAACAGCTTACATTTCAGTAAAAGTGTTTGACGTACCAAGCGCTTATATATTGATGTGGATGCTTTTATCTTTATACTTCTTTTATGGATCTGGCCATCAAGCAACGTTCCCAAATATTCCATGGGAAGCCGCTTTCATTGGAAACGGTGGTGACTTTACAAACAATTACATACCAGCCCTACTTGTGATAATAAATAGCTTCGGACCTTATATACTCATGGGAGTCACTTTACCTCTGTTATGCATTGTACCTTTTACATTTTATGTTATGTTTCCTTCGATGTTCAGCAAGAGACACGATGAACAAAATGAAATTGCCCACGGTGAAATTTTGCTTTACGAACGCAATGGAATATTATTTACATCTGTATTTACGATCAGCTGCAGGTACATCTTATTCCATGCAGTTAGAGTAAGTATGCTACCTGGTTTCTTTGTTAATCATTGTGGGATGTTTAGATTTTTACGGCAATGTTGGCAGCGACTATTCACTGTCGGCATCTTATGGTGTGGAAGATTTTTGCTCCAAAACTGATTTTTGAAGCAGTTGGACTTATAGTAACCCTAATCTCGGTGTTGGGTGGCTTTCTGCTGCTAATATTAATTAACTTTAAAGTTGATAGGTTACTAACAGATCTTAATAAGAAGAGCAGGTGATATGACTGAAGTCAAAGTAATAAAAGTGGATTTAGAGATCATTGTTGCATTTTGTTATTCATTTCATTCTGCATACGTTGTTCAAATATTTAAGTAGTTCTTGCTCTGTTGGTGTGGGTGCAATACTTCAGTTTTTTTTGTGAGATACTATGTCTTATCGTTATATATGTAAATTGGAATCAACGCTCGGCAGTCATATTTTTCAGGTTCCAGTATCAATAAATGGACCTAATTCATTATTCATTCATTACTACCAATTTAAATGGAATTAGCTGAGCAACCAATATCACAGTATACATATATCATATGGAGAACAGAATTGTTCAATTATTCACCAGTTTAATTGTCTTGGACAATGACGCCCCAAATAGAGTGGTATAATCTAACAATGAATTATCAGTATCTCGCAAAAAATGCACATTACTAGCAGTATTGATTACTGGTAAATCGATCATTACCCTTGTTTTTACATTGTTTGTTTAATAAAAAATTAAAAAAATGTTTTTTATAATTCGGTCTGGTATAGACATCATTCACTACTTTCATGCCCGAATTAAGCTACAGTTCACGTGAAGTCGGGATACACTGAATGAAAGTCTATTATTTCAAGCATAGAACTTTGTCCTAGTAGATTGTTGCCAGAAGTGATGAATTGCAGAAAATTGGGGTTGCGAAGTTCGACCTGTCAAATAAGGGCAACAAAAACCGTTTTTCTCCTCATCCATATTCCCAATAGTTTTACGCATGCCAAGCGGTTACTGGGCCCATAACCTAAAGTGTTTTGGGACAAAATTCGATCATGGCCGATGATTACCTACCTAAATAAATAATGAAATACGAGGACAAAAAGAAAAACCAAAATGTCTTTTTGTAATAGAAAAACAAAACTATACTTATATAAAGCTACTACAAAAGCATGGACGTTGTCATGGGGGGCAATCAGGGACGCAGGTTTGCACTCAACAATATCACATTTCAAAAGCTTACAAAATTGAGGTGCAACTAAGTTTAATAATCTAATGTAAAATGGATGTGTGCTAGTTTCTTACATTGATATTTCTTGAGCAATAAAGAGCAGATACAGCTACAACGCAATGGTTTCTGTATACTTTCTCCTGGTCAAGCGTCATTGCTTCTACTTACTTTAGCAAGGAGAAGTAAATTCATAAATTTCACGCATTGTGAAAGTTGATAAATTAAAGGATTTTTAAATATAAGAAGCCACAATTAGCTTTCTGTCCGCTGATCCCAACGAATTTTGGGTGGTCTCTATACTTATTTGCCAAATGCCAAAATTTTACATCTGCCGAAATTGATGAATCAAGTCTTTTGTGTACAAAATGACCACAATTTTTATATTCAACGGATTGGGTTAGAAAACGCTCAATTTTTGGAAAGCTAATAATTTTGTATTTAAAGATTAAACCTTCCCCCGCCATTAGGACCAGAGTTGCTTCCTGGACTATTTGTGTCTCTCTCAAATTTTGTACAAGTTTTCAAAGCCTACTTTGTCAGGAGTTGAAATAGGATCTTGGTCTTATATAATGTCAAAACGTTTTAACTATTTTTAAGTGTAAACTGAAGCAAACCAATATGGATGAAAACGAAAGGTTATTAAAAACGGCGATTAATTTGCACTATCATGATCGTCCCAATATTTTACTTACGGCTTCCCAAATTATTCAGGAGTATTGTAATGGCGAACAAACGTGTGATAAGTATTGCGAGGTGAGTGCAGGAACCAAAAATCTAATTTCATCGGATTCAAAATTTTGTATAGGTGCTCCAAAAGCTGCGCGATCTAATGTCCGATCTACCAGAAACAATTTTGCTGTATTTTCTGACGACCATACCTGATTCAGATTTGATTGACGATGCTAGTCCTCCGCCACTAATCGGTCTTATGAAACAAATCAGACTGCGCCTTATAGAAAGGTGTGCCCTTGTATTTAATTGGTTGTAGTATGCATATACCTTTTATATTTATTTATTATAGTATCAAATCTGTATTAAGCGAATATATAACTAACGCAATCTCCCCTTTAAATCCTATTAAACAAACTGAATCAAGTTTGGAACAAGGAAACGAATTGGAAGGCGAAATTCTAAAGAGCGATGATGGACAGTTTGGTAATGTAGAAAATCGAGCTGTTGATGATAATGGAGTTGTTGAAATCATGGATTCTGAATCATGTGGTATGTGCACGGATTTATTAGCGAGTTTATAATTTTGCTGTGTCTGTTCGTCTGTCCGTTATTACGAAAACCAATAGACCGACTATGATGAAATTTTGCAAGTGTGTCTTGATCAAATTTGTAGGTCGGAGTTCGTGCAGTGGAATGTAGGCCAAAACATAACCAAGGCCCCTTTTGACATCTCCGTTGGTTATGAACCAAATTGCATGAAATTTAATATAGGAATAGCTTTAGCCATATAATACGCAATGCCAAAAGTCTAATCGATTCGCAATGTCCTTTTCGCATCTCGGCCATTTATGAACCGATATGCAAGCTTTTTTAGCGCATTTTTTAAGAATTAAGAAAAATGTGCTATTGTTTGCGTTTTGTCCGTCCGTAGGGACCCACTTCTGCCGTTACGAACTACTTCTAGGGGAATGGTCCTAGAGTCCTGGAATTTTTTTGCAGTAGGTAGCCTTTGCCTTGAAGGTGTGCCAGATGGCCATCAAATTTCGCTGTCTTAAAGGCCCCCCCCCCCCCACGAGTTATTTCCTGAGCTGAGATGCTGTTTTTGAAAGTAAAACGTGCATAACTTTTACATACAACAACCAATTGGGGTCTCAACAAAAGGAATTAATTTCTACCAACCATAACCCTCTTCCTCAACCTCTTATTGTGATTGGGTATATTCTCTTATACCTCAAGCACGGATTGTCGAAAGAGGGTACTCACAAAGGGCGATTGAGCCGTCTGCAAAAAATATATCCATTGGTGATGTCAAAACAAAAGCTATTTCGGTTTAAAAAATGCGCTTTATCTGCACAATTTATAGTTGTTAATAGGTACCTATTTCAATAAAATTTGATACATATAGACACTTTTTAATTAAAAAAACACGAGTTGTTCGGAATTGTACTTTTGTCCTTTTAGATCTTTGCCTTAATTGGTGTGAAACAATCGTAGTCTATACTCTATTCAGCGCAATTTTCATATTTTTATTGAAATCAATTTGTCATAAAAATGTGTTCAGATGTTCTCAGATTAGAGGATTGTTTTTTATGTAGCGGAAACAAACAGAGCGATTGTATATTGTCATGCTAGTGGCTTTACTTTCCTACATAAGTAATAGAAAGCAATATTATAGTGTCTATAGAAAAGACTAACACCACAAATAAACTTTGACAAATATTTTTCAGTCTAATAAAAAAGAACAACAGACATATGGATGTTCCTTACGGTTCGGTTCGGGGTCCCTTATTATTTCTCTTTTACATCAACGATATTTCTTTTTATTGCTGTACAGCCTACTTTTTATACGCGGACGTATACTTCCCTATATTCTTTCAAATAAAAATGAGAAGCCTGAAGCTTTTTGAAAAAGTGCAAGGAGAATCTAATACATACCAAACTTCAGTAGGTATGTTCTGTATGATTCGGTAAAAAATTCTTTGGCAATGGAAAACTACCAAAAGCCAACAAAGATTAAATTTAAAAATACAGGGTGCAGATGTGCAGCATGTACTTACATCTGGAAACCATATTTTTGGCTTTAGGCATTGAATAAGTGAATAAATAATTTTTTATTCAATGGTAATGTTTAAATTGGAAGCACTGTGCGAAGCTGATGCTAGATTGAAATCTCTTATCTACCTATTTGTTTATAAACCTAAGGCATGCATGTAACGTTTCCTTAATTATGTAAACCCATACCCATATTCAGTGGTCGAAGTGAGGCGGTATGCGGCGGTATGGCATACCGATAGATTTTTGGTTTTTGTGAAACATACCGGTAATAAATTTATCCACATAGGCATAACGGATAAAGTTTTTTCATGATAATATACGCATACATACAATACTAAGATTTTATCAGTTCAGCCATACCGGTAAAAAATATTTGCCACTTCGACCACTGCCCATATTTAATATAAAATTGACTTAAAAGCCATTGTTTAAGTATTTAAACACACGTATCTTTTGTACGTACTGGGAGTAAAAATATTTAATAAATTATACCAGAATAAATTACATGCTGTAATACTCTGAAATTACATTAAACTTAAATGTGCTTCTACAATATTAAGGGAGTTCCTTGAAAGTGCGTGACCGTGATTTTCTTTGGCTATGTAGTAAAGAGGTACCTATACCTATTGTTAATTATAATGTCCATACTACTCTTTTGGTTTTTGAAAAAGTCAGTATTGTTGTGGAATTTACGGCACACTAATATAATAATAATTTAAATGTAGGAGTATTAATAGCACCATACAAATACAACTTTTTTTTAATTAAACAAAAGTCCCCCTAAGCCGGCTTCTTTTCAAATTGGTGGTTTATTGTTTATTTGGGCAAAAAAATCACCCCGCATTACAGTACAACCAGTGGCGGATTTGCAGTCTTGGCCGCCCTAGGCCCCAGGCCACGTAGCCGCTCCTGTTTTAGTACAAATCATACTAGGTACATAATGAAATTACTTTATTGCCAACTTTTAAAATCGATTCAGAAATTTTAATTTAGTTAACTCTTAGCTATAAGAGCTGCTAACTGCTATAATAGTTCGTAATAGTTTCTAAGGTTTTAGCCAGGTTTTATTTATTTAACTAGTTTAACTATAGGTTTATTCTCATACAGGTATAATAAGTAGGTATTTCACATTGCTACAAAACTCGTCTGCACTTAAGCACAGCAAAATCAGTGAGCAACAATTTTTCACTTTGGAATATTCAGGTACATACTCTGAGTCTGAGTCATTTCTTGTTATCATCAGTGACGATTGACCGCCCCTAATCTCTGGCCGCCCTAGGCCCGGGCCTACTGGTGCCTTATGGAAAATCCGCCACTGAGTACAACCCTAGCAAAAAGTTTGTTAAAGTTACCTTGCTACGTTCTCTGTCACATATGCGTTAGGTGTATGGTATTTGCCATATTTGCTTTAGTGGTGGGAAGCATGGGGATTGAATAACTTACCTACAAGTTGCAGGTAACCCACCTGAAAAATCTTTTGAGAGATTGGTAGACATTTGTGCCGAGTACGTGATAGCCAACTTGGACAACTTGAATCAGCTATACGAGAGAAAAAGGGATTTAGCGTGGACCAAAATCAACGCAAACTCTTATACTGTACAAGATCAACAGATGTGCTACAGCACTTTGCAGGATATAAACAAGAAACGAAACTGGTTACGTTTGATCGAATCTGGGTACGTATCTGGCGAAGAACTTCTGAGTTACTATGGAGAAAGTGAAATTTTATTACGAGGACATTTATTTGGGAAAATGTCGTACTGTAATAGCACACAAGATGAGGAATTATTAATGGACGCGATTCGTGAATATGTATCAAATCCGTTGTAGGGCAAATGTTAATAAACGCATTTAAAAAAATTCCCGCGCTTAATTTTGTTTTGAGTTGCTCCGTTGCAGATAGGAATTCGAATCCTTGTTATTGATTGGTGCCGTCATTGGACGATGGAAAGAGAATTAGCCAACCGACGATTTTCAACAGTATTCGAAAAGATGGCTGCTTTGCCGTCTCCAACGCAGGTAGTTGCCTTAAAATTTTGACATAATTCAACAAATTCGTGTTTCTTGTCTATAAAATTTACCTACGATTATCCGCAAGACGACAATCTACAAATGCATGCGTAAATAAATACGTGGATTCCGGAGTTTTCGTGTGTATTTTCTTGACAGTTCAGTGGGCGGCGTTTTAAAGCCTTAATTTCATCAATAATTCATAACTTATATTGCAATGTAAACGAAACCTCATTAAATCTTATTAATTATGTAATAATAATGAGCAAATTATCATTTAAGACCACAAACATGGTTATTGATGTGTGCTTAAAAATGACAACCACTGACATTTCGATTCGTAACCTTTACAAATACACTCGATTTAACATCAACTCCATGTCGTCGGTTATATCATACATGTTTTCGTTAACATTACTTTCGATAGATCGTGAAATAATGAAATATTTTTTTAGGTTGCCGGAAATAATAGTGCCATATATGAATCGTATTATAATTTCGTAAGTATATTCAATTAATAATGTTAAATGTTCATACTTCAGATTTATGTCGAATAACCCTTCAAGAGGTGGAAGATATTAAATTAAGATTTGACTAGGTGTACTTAATTGGACAATTAGATTTTCATACACTTTTGTTACTATGCCTATTTTCACAGATCCGTAAATCAGATTTACTTTGTGGATAATCATGTGATAGTTACAGACAAGATTATAAGAATTATTTATTTTATAATCCTTAGTTAATGTGAGATAAGCATTCATTATCTGTGAAAGGGTGGGTGTTATTTGGAATTGTTTGTGTATTTTCTTTGCTTTTAATATAATGCTTTACAGTTGAGCATAAAATGAAAAGTTTTGACAGAATGTTTGCTCTGTACTAATAATCTACCATGACAAATATGCTCGGTCATTGAATTGAATGTTGTATACTAGTTGCAGAAGCTAAATACACAGAATGTAAAAATTTGCTTTATGTTCATGCCATCATTTTGGAGGTTACGACTTGTTGTGTTCTTTGAGCTGGAATCTGTAGGTATAGATAGTTTACGAGATGCGTGGTTATAATGAGTCATTCAAAACGAATGCTAAAAAACGTACTTTGTAGTGTAAGCAATTGCTCGAGCAATTGTATTGGTCATGATCACATGATAATAACATATCACCTATACGTATGTGAATGTAAGACTCAAAATCAGTAAACAAACTACTGAGTTAGTTTAGACAATTGTCTAAGTGGGGATTATTTTCTTATGTCTTGTATCTTTATAAGACATTTCTCCGAGGGGTTATCGACCGGCCATACTTTTATATAAGGTGTCCCAAATTTGAGATTGATCATTGGGGTCTCACAAACTGTAAGAAATTGAAGTCAGTTAAATGGAGGTAAATGTGTATTTTGGGGCAGCTCCTTAGAAAGTGGAGGAATTCCGAATACTTTGGAGATAATCGGATAGAATCGAAATTCCCTAATTTCTTTTGTATTTATTTGTGACTTTATTTGCAGAGATTTTTTGAAACACACATTACACTTCTCACCGCAACTTTTTTTCCTACAGGCTGGCGTAATTAGATTTTACAGTTTTGGTTTTTTGGGGCTATTATCAATTTTATTTTTTTAAATAACGGATCTGCATTTTTTATTTTATATTTTGAAATTGCTGGTCATTATGAAAAAATAAATGTAGCACATTTGCGTAGCTACTAAATGCTACCACTGTAAAATTGACAACAAAGCAAGATTTACCCAAAAAATAGGGCGGCTATGAAACAAAAGCCTTCTGGGCTTGAAATATGAGTTTCAGTTAATTTGTACTGTTGGATCAGATTATATGAGCAAAAAAGATGTTTTCAATGTAAAGAAAAAGACAAAGTTTAAATATTGCATTCGAGAACAACACTGTTCTTTAAATATAAACAAAGCTGCTTCAAATTGCAAAAAAATTACATTTATTAAGTAGCGAGTGTTGCGAGCTTTATCAAAAACCTCAATAAAGTGCTGTCGTTTGTTTGGAGGACTGGCGTGAGAGTAGGGAGTTTTCGCTGAAGAACTAAAATTAAAACAATTAGTACTTTTTGTTGGGAAATTGTCAAAACAGGTGCATGTCATTTTCGACATCGTTAACTATTGATATAATTTGGCAAATTTGCATTATATTAAATGAAATTAATTTTTCAAAATAATTATCCGCGCCTTCCTTACCGTAACTGGCTAGTTACACTTACAGCGGTTGACCACCCTGCGCTCCTAAAATAAAATTTAATTTCTACGACACTGGTAAAAATTTTACTGTACCATTAGATCTTTTGTAATGAAATAATTAATACCACGGCTAGCTCAGTTTGATTGTATTATTGAAAATAAGATTGTTGTAATTCATGCAACAAATACAAATTTAATTTTTAATACCTGCATCGTGATCCCCTTGGCGATCCCCTAATTAAATATCAGGATTTTTAATATTCGTACTTAATCAAGCACCTGGTTCAAATTCCTATTCAAAACAAATGTATACACTTCCTGGATAAAAAATACAAGATTTAAAACCCACACCAAAGACTGGCATTACTGGACTTGAAATTGTAAATTTACCATTAAGGAAAAAATAAAATTACCACTATCTTTGGCCTGAGTGTACTTATAATTAAAATAAAATTCACAAATTTGTTCACAGGATAAACCCGTGTAAGTCAATCTCTTCAGGAATTTAAAAATGACTTCAAATGCAAATTCCTTATACAAAATCCCCAAAAACGATCGATTCCTGTTTTTAGATGATACAAAAATTTAAAGGAACTTTTATCGAGGGAAATTTTCTCCAATTGTCATTTGGATTTCTCCTTTGGAAGGCAGCAGCAATTTGGAAAATTGGATGGTGGAACGTCTTAGACAATACAAATGGACCTCCCTGTATTACCAGTTGAAAATTAATTTCGAAAGATGGTTGACGCAATTTGATTCCCGATCAAACCGTGCTTTAGCATTACTTGGATAAATGTCAGTTTGATGCGTCACTGATACAATTCTGCCCTAGTTAAATCTAGCACGCTCTTAACCACTCACTTACAAACAAATCTGTACGTTTGAACCGCGCCATTCCAAACCAGCAGATCAACCTCACTGTGTATGGCTAGTTTTATTCATAAATTTGTTGTACTTCATATAAACAAATTTGATGTGTTTTAATTCATAAATTGGTTTTTTATGTAACTTACCTCTACAACGGAGTGTTTTATACCTTGTATCCAAACGCTTTCGTAGTAACCATTTATTTAAATGGTAATACATTAATCCAAATATGCAGTGAAACGAGAAATGGTTCGCTTCTTTATTAATGCGGTAACGGTCCGCAATATCCACATTTGAAAATTATAGCAGCCTTTCTACATAAATCAGTACGTATTATTAATTTACTTTTGCTGGCAGCTCATAGCGAGTTTAGAAGGCACCCGTGTTTGTTAAATTTGTTAAAAATGACGGCGCTGTCTCCGATTGCGGGGACGATTCTCCCATACACGGCGGTTATACGGTCTTCGGTTCGAACTTTTAATTAAAAGTTTTTACGCGATCTATTAAATCTTTCGCGGTCACAATATGTTAATTTGCACCGACGATAGCGCTCGATCGACATAGATTCTCTTCGAAAATTTGAGTAAAAATGCCGCTGTCCCACCAGATTTTTACTTAAATACTTTGCCGAATTCAAATACAAAACGACTCCCCTTTTCATGAACGCATATACTACTACTACACAAATTTTTCGTATCTCGCCAAATAAAACAGATATTGAGGTGACCCTCTAATTTTAAACGCACTGTATAACATTTGAAACTTTTTGCGAGATCATGTTCTCGAATTTGACCAAATTGACACAGGTATCAGAATTAATTTTTGATAAAAAAAAAGTTCATCGAAATGCACAGAATGTGGATTTAAATAACAATGTTTCTAATTTATAGGTTGATCCCAATGGATTCGGTACCGTGGGTGCCATGGAAGCGGCGCGCTTTCTCAAACGATCTGGACTCAGTGATGTAGTGCTTTCTCGTGTGTGGGACTTATCTGATCCGGGCGGACGCGGATGTTTGGACAAGGCGGGAATGTTCGTTGCGTTGAAATTGGTCGCACTGGCTCAAGCAGGTCGCGATATTAATTTGTCTAATATCATGCTCGATATGCCTCCTCCAAAAATGGTAAGCCGTCATACGCGTTATGGTTATTATTATTGACCTTTCAGGGCGATATTCCACTTCCAAAACCTGTTAAACCTCCCCCTCCAAGCAATACTCCTTTAATTAGTTCTGTTCCTCCAACCGCTGGTGTTGATTGGACAATTAAACCGACGGAAAGGGAAAAATATGACAAGTTATTTGATTCTTTAAGACCCATGAATGGTTTGATACCAGGCAATAAAGTAAGTTTACAACTTCGTGTCTCTGTAGGTAACACGATTGTGATGTAGGTGAAGGGTGTTTTGATGGATTCCAAATTACCAATGGATACATTAGGAAAAATTTGGGATCTCGCCGATCAAGATAAAGATGGCATGCTTGATCGGCACGAATTTGTTGTGGTATGGGGACCGTCCAAGTCTCGTATATCGCATTGTTTTAACTTTGCGATTTTAGGCAATGCATCTAGTATATAAGGCGCTTGAAAAGCACGCAATTCCAAATATTCTTCCTACCGAATTAATGCCACCTCCGAAAAGAAAAGAATCCGTGTCTATGACCACACCGATTATACCAAGAGGCATTGATGGAATTAAACCTGAGGTACCTCCTCCGCCGCCAAATATCGAACCAATAGTACCACCAAGTAGACCACCTCCTATGCCGTCAACTACGGCTTCAGCGCCTGTCATACCATGGGTTGTTACTCCAGATGAAAAAGCAATATCGGATGCGCTATTTATTAAAAGCGATATTGATAGGGATGGTTTTGTCTCGGGCCAAGAAATTAAGGATGTATTTTTACAGTCGGGTGTACCGCAAGCAATACTAGCACACATTTGGTAAGGAATAACTCAATTTCTCATTTGGTAATCGCAGTTTTTAGGGCTTTATGTGATATTAAACAAAGTGGTAAATTGAATAATGAACAGTTTGCTTTGGCGATGTGGTTCGTGGCACGTTGTCTTAAAGGGATGGATCCGCCCATAGCACTTACGCCAGAAATGGTGCCACCTAGTTTTAGATCATCTAAACAATGTGATGTCCTAGTAAGTAACTAAAGAGCTTGAGTATCGACATGACGTGTGAAAAAAATGTGTGCAGTGTCAATATTTTAACAGTAACTTTGGGAAGTTTAAGATGTCATCAGAGAGGGGTAGAAAACAGTTTTGTTGTGTATATATTGTGGACTTTTTTCAGTTTTTTGTTATTCTTTTTTGAGCTATTTGTTATTTATGTACATTCTTGTACATGTGTATTTATTACCCTTTATATTTTCTTGATTATTTTTATTGATGTTTGATCACATTTCGTACTACTGTTGTGTTTCGTTATTGTTATTTTTATTATTGTTTGATTGTGCATGCTATTATTGTTGTCCATATTTATTTCTTTTAATTGAATTGGAACATTAATTTCAATTTAGACATATTTTAACCTCGCCAATAAAAAATTGGGAGGTGATTGAAATCACTCCAAACTTCGATTTTGAGATTCACCAGATTTTTCGTTTCAAATTCAAGGTTTCAGGAATCCAAAAAAGTGCTTTTTAAAAATGTATGTTTGGGTGTGTATGTATGGATTTCGAGAGCTGAAAAGCTTTTGGAGGTGATTTGAAAATGGCAAATGCCTTTTCGGCAATAGAATCGATATTTATTAAATAACTTATAGCTTTGTAAAGAGCAGACTAATTTGCCTGAAATTTTGTACCCAATGTTCTCTAATGGTCCTGACAGCTGAGAAGATTTTCGAAATGATTGGCAAAGGGGACTATACAACATATTTATTTAATAAGGTATGAGCAACAAAATTTTGAATGAGAAAAAGCCGTAGAAATTTTAGGTTACGTCTAATTAGTTTGACAGCTCGTGAGCTGCCAGTGAATTGATTTTGTGATTAAATACAGTTTTAGACAAAATAATAACCGTGTAATACATTGATCGGTGCGATTGGTGAGGTTCCAGCTGTCCCACTAGCTGCCATTTAATGTGGGGCTCGTTGTACAGTGTGTTCATTTCATTAGTATCCACGCTTAACTCCTGACCTGAGGTGATTATTGCTTTGATTGGAAACACGTCGATTTAAATATCGAGGGGAAAGTTCCAAAATGGCACCTAGACACTTTTAGGTTTCATCCCTCAGCCACCTCACTTCGAAATTTAAAATGACACCTCCTACCTTGTGATGATACATCATTTGAAAGGGCATAAAACTCGCTACTCAACCATGATAAAAAAATGAAATCAGTGATTGGTTCTTAAGACTACAAGAAGATGGAAGGTATGACATCAACTCGGAAATCAATTATTATTATAAAATTTTAGTCTTGAGCTATTGAATTCCGTTTTCTCGTTTTCCAAGGCAGCCATGAAACAACAAATGCAACAAGTTCTGTCTAACATCAGTACAGCTTGCAGTATTGGTATTTGTTGCGGAAAAGACTTTTGAATAAGAGAAAAGAATGTTTCTGAAACTGGTGTTCTCTTTAGAGTGCAATAACGAGTCTGTCGGCTCTGAGATACCTGAGCATGGGTCTAATTACGTGAATGTACATTCCTGTTTACTTTTCCACTTTGGCCCTTTATAGGATATCCAGAGTTATTGTCCAGTGTAATATCTAGGTATTTGATGGGTCGTATTAGTAGTTCGGTGATTTGCATTGACATATAATATGGACTGCGTGTATCAATGAAAAGCGCGGATATTGCAGGTGAGAGAGAAGGGAAAACTAAGAGGGCAAGCTATCTCTTACGGTTACGCATCTGATTGGTTCTTTCATTTTAATTTGAATGCAATCGCGATCGCTTCTGTTGAAAGAACCAATCAGATACGTAACCGTAAGAGACAGCTTGCCCTCTTAGTTTTCACTTCTCTCTCACCTGTAATATCCGCGCTTAGCTTAGTCCAATAAGGTTCATTGTTATTTGGAATTTTTTGGGTCGGAATAAAGGTCGCGATCAAAAATGAGTGGCGGTCAAGTCACCTTTGGAAGTTCAAGTTAAGTACGATTTCCCATGTAAACAACAATTTCAGCTGAATGCTCCATTCATTATGTACTTTCTGCTTGAGCTCATACTACATATTGATTAGGTATCTATTTATTTAAATACATAAGTAATTAAAGTTAATTATTCGTAATTTATAAACTACACAGCGTACTTTCTTCCAAAAAATGCCTTTCCGAATACATAAATAAAAACGGCCAATATTACAATCATTCCCAAGAGCATTATGTGATGATTGAATGTCATTTTGAGTCGTTTCTCCACTACCAATCGTATTGTACCTACCAGGTCGTTATTTTGCCAGCAGCTAAAACGTATCACCTTTGTCGCATAAAACAGAGAGCTTCAAAGCGAAATTTTTCTTAATCAAATTTAAATAACTACTTCAAGGAGAGCTAAATATATATGTAAATTGCTACATGAAAATGCACCCTTCAGAAAACCGTTATTGCGATGAATATTTTACCTATAAATATTGCTGTCCTCCACTTTAGTATGTTTTATGTATATTTTGTCCATTACGCTTATGTAAATGCGACCATTTGATTGTCGGGCAAGCAGCTCCGGTATTAGTTTCTTAGAGCCTAGTTGCCATTGCATTGGAGTGTCCGAGTTTAAATTACTGCAATAATAGGATTGATATTTCATAACACACCGATAGAATGATTTTTGGGGAAATTGGTAACAACTAAATCGCGCAAATAAATGGAATGGAAATGACAGATATGGTAATCTTCAATTCCTTGACATGTTTAAATGCAAAACAGTCAGTTTGTTTGATATCGACACTACAGTGTTTCCCCTTACAACTGATCTAAAATTCTGTGTAAGTGGCTGTGGTAATAGTAATAACTAATAAGTATGTAGATTAAGAGTATATATAGTTAATATGTGCGCCATACCCTGGACATGTGAGGATTATATCGGTATCTGTTTTTTCAAACTGCAATTGACGACTAACTGCAGGCTCAACAGATGGAATACCTTGTAGTAGAGAATATATTCCGGCAGAATTATTTGCAGTTTCAATCACTTCTCCTTTTCGATTTTTTACTTGGAAAATACCATCTTGAATACAGGATGCCTAGTAAATACGCACATTAGTCAAAATTCTTTCCTGTTTTATATTTTTAAAATGTCCTTATGTTTTGTATAGTGCTCTCGATCTGTTTTTGTGTAGTACATTACCGCATATCAGACTTGATGCCTTATTATGGGCCCCTTATACAGGGTGTCAATTTTAAAACTTGCAGTCGGCCATGTTTTCCAAACTAAAGAAGATATTGAAAATCGCGAAAAACCGTTTCGGGGGTATCGAGGGGGAATCAGAATGATGTTATGAGTCACAACTCCCTACCCCCTTGAAACCCCCCAGCCCCCCTCTTCAAAAATCCTAAATGGCAACCCCATACATGTGACACATCGTTGGAAAGCTACTGAAAAATGCTTTCCAGTGGTACCAATAAAGTCATTATTGATTAAAGACAATTTAACAACAATTTAATAATTAACAAAAAAAACTAAATGTTGACATTGAGGGATTTATGACAAATTGGCCAAGAACTTCAACCTGAGCTGCTTCATTAAGTAATCTTGGTTGCTTTCTTTTTTATTGATAACAGATCCCGTTTTTTCGAATTTAGCGACCAAATCTTGAACATAGGCATGGCTTAATTTTTATTTTTTTTTGTTAATTATTTTTGTTAAATTGTCTTAATGAATATTGACTTTATTGGTACCACTGGAAAGCATTTTTCAGTAGCTTTTCAACGATGTGTCACAAGTGTGGGGTTGCCATTTAGAAGTTTTGAAGAGGGGGTTAAGGGGGTGGGGGGTTGTCACTCATAACGTCATTCTGGTTCCCCTCGATACCCCCGAAACGGTTTTCAATATCTTCTTTAGTTTGGAAAATATGGCCGACTGCAAGTTTTAAAATTGACACGCTGTATTCTTTTCCCATTCCTTTAGTAGAGCTGTTAATATATTTGCAAGATTAGAACCCATACTTGGTTAGTTAAACTTAATTGTGGGTAATATCCAAGGTAACAATTGTTGGAGCTATTGTATCTATAGAAACTACTCTGTGATTAACTTAGTTGGTTGGTGGAATGTACAGGGTGGTTCAAATTCGTGGCTCACGATTGGAATCTCCATAACGTTAAGAGACATAGTGTAGAGTAAATGGGGCCAAGTTTCCTCTTTTTGGGACTAAAGAACGCATTTGAAATGTTTGAAAAATCTTTGCAAATAACTGAGATAGTACAGAAAAACTAAAAATGTTAAATTTTGTTCTCATTTTCCCTTCTTCTTTCAACGGTCGAAAATGGACGGTTATCAGAATTTCCATAACGCGCTAGATGCAGAAGCTACAGGCTAGCACTTGCTTATTTCTTATGGACGCCCTATTGGATTTTTAGGGACTGAGATAGAGAACAAAAGCAGAAATTCATTTGAATCCATCGCGATCATATACACTGTATTTAAGATAAGGATGTCTATCATGGAGATCTCCGAAGCCATAGAAGATATGAAGATGATCAAATTAGAGAAATAATCCGCAATTAAAGAGTTATTATCATGCTTTAAAGAAAACCATAAAATTCCAATTACTTCCGAAGATATGCCAGAAAAACCGAAATTATTTCATGTAGTGTAAGAAGCTATACAGATTGCTTTCGCCCTCTCTTACATATTTTAGAAATCTTGTCAAAAAAGAGCTTTTTGGCACATTTTTGACTGTTTTAGTTACTGAAGAGATAGTCTATTAGTCTGACGGATAGTTTACTTACTTTGCAATAGCCAGTCATTATTTCACTAGTTCGGTTTTTTACTTGAGGCAATCGCTTAAGTGATTTTGGTAAGATGTGTGATAGGCATGGAACGCCACCTTCAAAAATGGTCAATAGCTCTAAATCTTGCTGTGATACATCATAGAGATTTTCGCCTTGATTTTCATCATCATCCGTTAATTTTCCTTCATTATCTGTGTCGCGCTGGAATTGAGAGAAATTATGCCGGTGTTAACTTCAAAAGTATACAATAGTGCTGACCAAATTGAAAAATTTTTTACATACAGTGTGTTTGAGATAAGAGGGTCACCTCAATTATTTCTTATCTCAAACACACTGTATATATACTGTGGTTTGATAAATTTTTGATGTAAGTTTGATATTTTAAACTTGCACAGTTGTAGAATTACACCCGAAAAACCTAAATAAATGCGAAAATTTCCTTGTTCCTACCTTTTGGTTGCTTTGTAGAAGCACTGTACGTACAATTTACATTGTTGTTCAAGTACTTTACCTTTACAAATTTGTTTGGTTGATTGTTGCCTATGTAAATAACGCAATAGCCTAGTTTGTGCCGTTTTCCCACTTTTCCGCACCTATTACAATGTGACCATACACCCCATACTGTATCTAGTACTAAATTGTACTTTGGAATGTACTTTGGTATGGTTGGATATGGCCCCGTTCTTGCAGAATTGGCGTGCACCTACAAATGCATGTTCCTTAACAATTTAACTACGTGTAACGGTATTTTAGTCTAACCTCTATAATCTCGGAGGTACTTTGTATTACAGTTAAAAAGTAGGGTGCTGTTAACGCGTCTCCTAGTTTGCATATGTATTGCCCACTCTGACTTTCTTCCAATTTGTACAATGTTAACGTTTTGTCATCCGGCGTTAAAATAACGTGTTCTGTATATTCGACTGGCACTAGTGATTCGCTCTCTATAGCTGCCCAAAACCATTCCACTGATTCGATACTGTCTCGCTCAATTGGACTCAGGCAAACCTTGCAATCAAAACTTTAACACTGGGTAATTTATGTCTTACTGAATGTAATGGTGAAAACCTGACAAGCCCACCTTCAAAACCGACAACAGCAGAAGGATTTAGAGAGTTGGTGCTTCCCAAATTGGAGTTTTGTATTTTGAGGCACTCGTAATACTCATCCCACTTTTGCTTGTTGATTTCTCGATGTTTTTGGCTCGTACCAGGATATTCCGAACTGTCATAGCCCATTATGTTCACTGTTTGATGTTTAAATTTCGTTTTGTAATATTTTTTAGCTTTGTTTAGCATTTTTTTGTAATTCGATTGGAATAACGCTGAACATTGAGAGAGAAGAATGTAAATAATAACTAATTCGCTAGCTTTCATGTTGATTGATATATGACACATTTGTCAATGTAATAAAACAGGATTGCTGGTGAAGTATAGTTGGCTGAATGTGATTATGACTATCTGTTTTTTGTTTTTAAATTGCGAACAAAAGTGCAGACGATTCTATTTTAGGAAAATAATAATACTCCATATTCAAATCCGGAATTGGATATGATTAGTAAAGATATTGAAGAATTATCAAGAGAAAAACTTGCCTTAGAAGCAGATATTACCCAAAAAGAAGCTGATATTAAGATAAAAAGTGGAGAGATAAAAAGTTTACAGGTAAGTATAGGTAGTGTAGCTAAAGGTAATTAATTGTATCGTTTCAGAGTGAATTAGATACACTAGCTGCCACTCTTAAACAATTAGAAAACCAGAAGGGAGAAGCTCAAAAAAGGTTAAACGATCTAAAGTTACAGGTATCTATCTAGAGAAACTGACATGTGCCGTTATTGCTTTGCTGCGCTTTTGTGATTGTTTTGTTTTGTGCATTTAATGTTAATGCTATATGCGTTATGTACCTAAACACATTAATTTTTTTCCTTTCTTTTTACTTACTTTAGATAAGTTGTAAATGATCCGTGATAGTGTGACATTTACAGTTTACCTTTGGGGCATGTTATGGTATGTATGTGCACCTACAGTGTTGTGTTGAATTTTTAATCCAATGATTTTAAACAAAAATTAGCAATATTGCCAAAAACTTGAGCATTATTAAACTTACAGATAGTGAGGGAAATTTATTGAAATCTTGGAAATTTAGCGTAAATACAGAAACCACAATTTAAAAATAATTTTGATTAAGTATACAGAGTGGCGAGAGTGGTTTAAAAGTAATGAGTCTAAAAGTAGGATTTTAATAGTCTTTTTGTACTGAATGGTCTTCCATAGGTCAAGGTTATACTTTATACACACCCGTTCATGTTCAAAAATTGTTAAAATTTCATCAAATGTTGACGTTTTATATCATTTCAAGCAACTTTTAAAGAATAAATTGTTTTTGTCTGTACGTACAGGGTGGTTCAAACTCGTGGGTCACCCATCTTTTTCGTGACTAAAAAAACGCATTTGAAATTTTTTGAAAACCTTGGAAAATAACTGAGATATCACCGAAAAACTGAAATTTCACGTATTTTCCCTAGCTTGAATGGTTGGAAATGGACGGTCCCCATTGGCATCTACTTTTCTTTTGGAGAATCTGAATGTTATCAGTATTTCCATAACACACTAGATGTGAAAGCTACAGGCTACTATATTCTTATTTCTTATAGACACCATAATGGATTTTTATGGAATGAGATAGAGGACAAAAGAGAAATTCAGCAAGATCTAGTTACCCGCAGATGGTTTGTTCATAAATGAATGTAAAAACATTTGTTTTGTTTAGTTTGTAATGCCCAGAAAGTATGTCCACGAGTAACCTCAAGATTTTCCTTTATAGCCCTATGCAAAAACGCGCCAGGGGGTCGATTTTTGAAACCAGTCGCATCTATTCGTATACGCTTAGATGCGAAGACTTTAAAAACGTATACGTTTTCCAAATGCAATTTTTGACTACTGTTCGTAACTGCTTGGAACCGAAACGTACAGTGCATATGACAACGTCGCCTTTGTTGCGTGATTAGAACTAAAGCGGACTATTTGACGTTTGGGTTTGAGCTTATGTAGCTGGTTAGGTGAAGATATTGCTCAGTTATTTCAAATTAAAGAATAATAATATTTTAGGCACTGATTAGCATGAATACTCAAAACACGATGGACACGCCAAAGGGAGGGTGCAATACCACGCAAAACCAAAAAAGGTGGCTTGTGGAGTTTGCTAAAAAAACACCCCGATATAATAGCAGGGAAGAAGTAGCCGATACATTTTGATAAATTGTGCTTCATTTAAGACTTCTATGGGGTTGCAAGGATTACGGTTCCTATTCGGGCGATAATTGCGTTCGGCATTCTCTAAATTGTCTACTACAAACACATTCACAGCTTCATCCATTGTTGTTAATAGATACCTTTCAAGTCTCAAGAGTCAAAACTTCAACACTAACCAATACATAACCCACCAAACGTCAGTTGCGAGCGTTTGCGAACGCCATTTACTCGCTCGCAGAAAAACGAACACAATTGAACGTATACGCAATATAAACGTATGGTCAAAAATTGCAAATATACGTTTCTTTACGACTACGTATACGTTTTAAGGAAACGTACGGCCAAAAATCAACCCCCAGGCTGCAAGATGGTTCTTTGAAGGCTTCTCTCGCTTGGCAACAATTTACCATCATGTTCCACCTAGCTCTGTGCTGGGTTTAGGTGTCTTAAGTTTTGAGACCAGTCCGGCTGAGTTATCGGCTTTCTCCTTACTTTCTGTTCCAGCAAGCTCAAAAGTATTGCTGCTTGCTACTTGCTCTAGTTCGGAAACCAACCTAGAGGTAATTTTACAGTGACCAAATGCCTGCAGGGCAGCCCTGCTGTCACTAGAGATTCTTTATGTTATGCATAAGAACTTTTCTTGCACTGAGCGTATAGTAGCCACAGTCATTGAGATGACAGAGGAGGCTGTTTGCAGTTAAGTTCCACAGAAAAAATCTTTTGTGCAAATGTCAACTATAGATCGTTGCACATCTACAGAAATTATTTTTGATTGTACAGGGTGTCCCATTTTTACGGTGTCTATAAATAACTCATTTTTTTAAATAGAACACCCTGTATATTTTGAATTGTTTCAATGTCATTTGTTAACCTCTATAAGTTATGGAAACCTATTCATTTTTTTGTCAACGTTGCCAACATATTAATTTTTTTCTGAATAATTTCCCATAAGAAAGTCTCACTTTGATGAATCGTAGCCTCCTTGATTTTGAAGATAAGATAATAATTTGTTAATATTAATATTGTTAATCCGAGTAAAGGGACCCACTTTGATAATGAGAAAGTTGGATTTAGTGATACAGGGTGTTCACAAGGAAATGGTACAATTTCCAAACTTCAAAGTGTCATAAACTATTCTTTTTCAAATGGAACTATCACTATTTTATGTCGCTATTCGATTGTCTTTTGTGCTCTCGTCCCCATTAATCAATTACATGTTTATACAGCGGATTCGGCTGTGATAATAAAAAAGAAAAGATTTCTAAAAAGTAGGTAAACATATGTCACCAATTAAAAGATGAATTAGTTTTATTTTTAGATAAATGCGAACTTTACATCAAAAGAGCCGTAGATTGCCAATCTCTCTGCTATGCACATTTTCACATAACTGTCCCTTAAGGGTCAACTGTAGGGCAACTATTTTTTTCAAATAGAAATTCATACTTTTTATTGAATATTCTTATTTTACATCGGACAATTTCGTGGGAAACATTTTTTTCCTACACTTACTATTTTTTGAAGACTTCTAAACGCGATTTTTGGTTTGGGCTAGGAAGCTGTTCTGTCAAGAATTTGGCTAATTTGTTTCCTTCTCTCGCCATCATCTTGTCTGCCTATCCTCAAAACGGCGCTACAGTACAAATAATACATTTGATGCCTGTAGAAAATTATACTAAGAGTAGAGAGTCTAAATATTATAATTGAGCTTGATGAAACAATCTGTAATGATACACAAGCATACCATGTCATGTCGTTTGTTTTGATTTATTGTACTTAATTTTGCAAATTTGAGTTTGTAGAATTAGTTTAGAATTGGCATGTTGCATTTATTTTTGCAATTATTAGTGGTCCGAAGTTGACAAGGAAATGGAGGAGGTAAATACTGAACTAGCCCAGCAAGAAGGAAAGGTACGTCTTATATATTTGTTCATTTTGTATATACTTCTACTTTTTGATGTGCTCTGCATTGCTGTTGCATTTGGTTGAGGTGTAAACTTTCACATTAAGATTTTGTTTTAAGTGTCTGTACATAGTTTTGCGCTTGCTGCTTTTCGACGGTTAGTATACTTCGAAATTTTAGGTTGACAAATTGAGAACACAAGCGACTGAGCAAGCGGAAGCAGTTGCGACACAAGAATCGGAACTGTCAAGTAAAAAACAGCAACTAGAAGGTCTCAGACAAGAAGAGCAAAGACTGGAAGATCAGAAAAATGAACATGTAAAAAAGTTAGATTCACTTGCGACGAAGCTGAGTGATACACAACTTAATATTAGTCAAGTGAGTCCACTTGCGTCTTTAGTCTGTAAATTTCATAAAACGTTTCAGGCGAAAGCGATGATAACTCAACTAGAAGAACAAACTAGACAAATGAATGACGCAATAACAACTTGTGATTCTGCAATAGATGCTTCTGATGTCGTCACCGTACCTGACACGGCACTTCGACTTGAACCTGAGTTTAGAGATTCAAAATATAATAAAATTGGCCTCGTAAACGGCGACACATCGCAACAAGTAAATGCGTTTATAATTTTTATTTAAGAATGTTACATTTATTTTTTATTAGAACGGATTCGAGGAGAAGCACGATCCATTTAATGAACGAAGTAATTCGACCACTACTTTTTCGACATTTCAAGATGATCCATTTAAATCAGGTATGCGACTAAAATGTTGACTAGCTTTCAATTAACAACTTTTTAATTTAGATCCGTTTAAAAATCAAGATGCCTTTAGTATAAACGATTCTTTCAATGCTGCCTTTACAAAGACTGTAAGTAAAATTTTGATTAGTAAAGTTACTTAATTTTTTTCATAATGCAGGATGGATTTTCATCAGACCCGTTCAATTCGTTTAATGCCCCTGCTAAAACTGATCCATTTGTTGCTTTTGGAGAGGAAGGAGAGAGTAATGTCCAAAATACTGAAGTATGTTGATGCTTAGTTAGTTGCTTTAATTGATGGTCGCAATTTTAGAATTCGAAGGATCCTTTTGGGTGTGATCCGTTTGCCATTTTACATGCACCTACTAGAGATAGCGCACCTCCTCCTAGACCTACTAGCCCTAGTCCCGCATTGCCTCCTAAAAAAGGGAAACAACCTCCTCCCAGGCCTGCACCACCACGTCCCGCACCACCTGGCGCCAAACAGCAAGCGGACGATTTTGGCTCTTCGGATCCCTTTTCCTCATCCGGTGGGGGAGGTTTTGCAAATTTTGCAGATTTTGACTCTAAGGTAAGATTCGGATTAGAGGGTGTAGTGTATAACGGTTTTTTAGTGTTGTCATGTCAGTGTGCTGTATGATAACCTCATTTCCTTAACCTATCCTTTCCAATGTGTAGAAAACAAACCTGTAAGTACCATTAGGTAAGTTTATCCTTACAATATCCCTTCTATAATTTGTTTTTTTAACAAGTTTTATAATACTTTCTATAAAAGATTTACTAATTATTGTTCGAGCTGGTTACTAATTAAGATTTTCATCTTAAAACTATATTGCATAATCAAGAAAAGATTATTGTGCATGGCACGACAGTGTTGCTCAAATATTGTGTACATATAGAATGAAATCTAAGTATTTTTTTAACTACTGTCAACCAAGCGAGTTTACCTGAGAAAACATGAGATATGAACAATATAACGGTTTTTAAGAGTCTTCTGTACCCACTGCACCCAATGTAAATTTCCATAAGAGCGCCCGCCATAAAAACTCTAGTTGTTTTTCAAAAAAAATTTTTTTTTAAGAACTTAAGTTCCTTCTAAACATTACCCCAAAAAATGAAATCATATTTTTTGTAAATAAAGTCTGTATCTTGGCGGGCGGTAAATCAACAATTTCAGTGTAACAAGTGGCGCCGCTGCTCAGTGTCGGTGGGAACTAACTAAGGACCAAGACAGGAGTTGACAAAGCAAAAATACCATCTTGTCTCTTGCAACTATAATCGTCTATATACTATAATGTAAAAAAGTTGCGCTTGGGTAAAGAAGACTCTTAAGATATTAACTCTACTTTGCAACTTCATAGGTTTTTTTTACAGTTTACAGTTGGCTATTTTTTTAGCTTGCTTTTTAAGAAAGATACTGTTTATACCTGAATTTCGTCCGTCTGTGAGTTTGAGATCTTAGAATATGTATGTGTAAAGCTGTTTTTTCCAAATTAATTTAGTAGTTGCATAGAGCGGATGGAAAACAGAATTTTATTGACACAATTTCAGTTTCTGCGCAGGCGTATTCCAACTTCATTATTGGTTACTACATTGCAAGTAAATTTTTTTGCATGGTGATCAATTTACCAGATCATATGGAAGGTGTTACTTTTGTTCACCATTTTACTATTTAGCCCAGATAAAATAGGTTTTAACCCTGAACTAATTCGCAAAAAACTGATTTATGGCTTAAAATATTCGTATTGCTGAACTCTTTTAAATATGAAGTTTCTTAAAAATATAGGCGGAGCTTCGGCCACCATATTGAAAAAATGGCGGTTATATTATGTTTTTTGCAATTATCTGGCTTATTATTAATTGTTATAGAAAAATGCATCTATACAAAATTAAATAACAAACAATTTGCGACGTTTTTGTTAACTTTCAATTTTTTTGTAATACTAACCGTTTTGTTGTGCAAAATCAACATTTTGTTTTTGAATTTAAAATCGTGTTATGAATAAACATTTTTGTGTTTATAAAAAATCATTGTTTTGAAAGTGTCTTTTTTTCATGAATTTGCAGTAATTAGTAAAAAAATGATTTGGACTCTACTCCTATATAACCTTGGCACCCAATAATTTTCAAATGTGTATTTTCTCAGAATTAATGATATCTTGATTTAGGAAAGTGTAAGAGATACGAATTAGGTTAAATGGGGAAAAAATTGCAGTTTTATGTGTCTTGATCAGTTCACCTTTTATTTTGTCAAACATATTCATGAATTGCTAGATATTTTAAAAAAATGATTTTTCAACTTTGCATCAAATTGCTGTAGCTCTGTTATTATAGTACAAGATCCCATATAAGTACGTTTGATGAAGGTTTCCATTGTTTATATGTTAGTTGTAATAATGTATTTTGTTTGTGTTTTTTGTTTTTGTTATGTATTGGGGTTGTTATTGTTATGCTCAGGGGCGGCTCTCTATAAAGAGCCAAGGAGCCATGGCACTACCTCAAGGAACCTGCTAATTATCAATTGTTAAAATATAATTAACTATTATTAATTGTGCTCACTAGAGTACATAATTGTGTTTTAAAACTTAAAACCAAAAAAGTAAATGATTTGATAAATTAAGAATAATTCATTTGTGCTTATCCGTGGACGTAAATACGGTCGAGCCGTGCCAAACTGAAACTGGCTCGTATTTTCCTACAAGTGTTGACTTCCGCGGGGAGTAGAGGGGTGGGAGGAGCGAAACCGAAGTAGCGTTTTATACGTACAACTTGAGCCATCAGAAGTTTGGCTCATAAGTACAATTGAATAATGTGTACGGGTATTACTATGCTTTGCGCCGTTTTCCTTGTTTCAGTTGTAATAAGTCAAACATTTTTTTTTATTTTTGTGTAAGATTACACTTCCCAGATTAATTGTTACGTAAAATACACAAATTAAAAAATCATTTAAATAAACCTTTTTGCATGCATTCTCTGGTAGATAGACTTTAAATAAAGCAATAAACAGGCCGTTACCGGACTTAAATATTGTTAGAAAACGAAATGTGTCTGAATCTTCTTTAAGAGGACACGACAATAGCGACAAATCCGAAAATAAAGGAGTAGGTATTCAGGGAATTAATAAATTTCGGTACTTGTTTAGATAAAGATTTGAATAGTTATTTGTACAACTATTGTTGAAAATGATACTTCGGCCTCATTAATAAAACTGCAAATAAAATGTTGCTATTGTTTATAGATCGGACTAAACGCCATGGAAACGGATAGTACAAATCGTGAAAAAAGTAACACTTTTCCATACGATTTTTTGTCAAAAAAAATCCGCTAATTCTCATCTAAAACAACACAAAATGAATTACTGGAATGCATACTTGAAGTATACTTATGAAACAAGTCTCCAAAGAAATTAAAGGGCTAGATTTGTTTCTGTCACTTGCATTATAAATATTCGAATTATACTCAAAATCTAAATAACTGGAATAATATGAAAATAAAAATTTGTAACTATTAAAATAATGGGGAGGGGGACACAATTTGGCACTACCTTCTACGCAGCTTACGAGCCGCCACTGGTTATGCTTAGGCACATTTGTGCATTTTGTCCTGTAATTGGATTATTATCTGTTGAGCAAATAAATAAATAAATTAAAATTTTAAAAAAATATTGACAAAAACGGGTTATCTTGCGGTGTTTGCTAATATAATTTATTTGTTTTTGCGTTTTTATGTGCTATCGATTTCGATTTACACATTGAAAAGTAAATAAATTATTTATTAGCAAACACTGCAAAGTAACATGTTTTTGTCAATTGCACATAAGAACAATCTTCGCCCATCTGTTTAGTGAGTAAAATTATTTTTTAGCAATCTTAATATGTAAACAAACATTGCAAATGGGTTACTAAAAAATTAAGTCAAGGCTACTCTTACTTAAAATTGATGTAATTAACATTTTTTAACTTTTACGCTCATCTATAAACCAAACAAAATCAATCTAAAATCAGAGTAAGAAACTAAATTCTCCAAAATGAATTTTGGTATACGGCATAGTGTTATCAGTCTTCCATCACATGGAGAAACCGCATGCGTACTCTCTTACATTTGATGCCTACATCACGAGGAGCTGTTGCACTGTGTCTTTCTCTTTCACACAGAACATTAAACAGCCCCATACCATCGTATTTATAATATTTTTTGTTTTGTGGTGGGTCAGTTTAATACTCAATAATACGGCCTACTTTAATTTAAGGAAATATTTACTATCTCTCAGTTATGAAATAAACTTATCCAGCAAGCAATGAAAATCAGTGTCATGTTTTTAAGGACGTTGGCCCAAAAGATGCATAATTATATTTTTCCAAAAATTGTTGCTCTTGGGCCTTATAGAACAACTTTTTGGGGGTCTCTCCTATACAACTTAGGTTTATAGTACATAGTGTCATTATTCATGATTTTTGTGCTCCTAACAACTCTACTATAAATATTACTTTTTAATTTACACATAAAAGTGAAATCCTGTCCTAAGCATCCTACCGCTTTAAATTAATAAAGGTAGTAGATCTGTTGAAATTATCATTATGTCTTTGCTTTATTATTTCAGCTACAAATTATGCTCTAGTTGCACGATTTATTATTTATCCAAGGCACTGCAAGGCTGTGTGTTTCACGGCAAGCGTAGGTAGACGTGATTAATAACATTTATAGGAGCGGTGACCGAGGATTATTACTAACATTGAAAACCCTAATTTTGCAGCCTTAATAATTTCGTCTCCTCTTCAGTTTTCTGATAAACCGACCACAACCTCAAATACAAGTTCAACAAACAAGACCCTGGATTTCACAGATGACCCCTTTCGAGACTATCGATACGAAGATCCATTCAATATTGCCTTCGACGACGAGCCTTCTGATATTGGTAAAAGCACTAGTAGTCTCGACGCCCGTAGTGTATCAACCTCGAATATATCTAAACCTTTGGAAAGTAAATTTGATCCGTTCGGAACAGAACAATTAGATGGTAGAAGTAGCCGGGGGGAGTCATCCGGTTTAAGCGGACGTCAATCCGCACCCTTGGCGACCTCCGATGCGTTTTTGAATTCCAGTGGCCGTGCTTCTGCTCCTTTGAATCGATTTTCGGAAAAGGATCAAGTTGCATGGGCCACTAAAGAGAGTAAAAAGAATGAGGATTTACGTAAGCAGAGACTAATACAGGAACAAGCCGATTTAGAATTAGCTATAGCGTTGAGTAAGGCTGAACAACAGAAAAATTAGTTGGTGAGTGGTGATGTAGAAAAACTAAATTTAGCGGTATTTGTTCGTGAACTTAAGTAAATTATGGCTTATTCTGCATTCGTTATGCAAACTACACATATCCTTTATTGCTATAATTTCTTACATTTGGCATTCGTTAACCATATATTATTATGCACAATCTTTTTAAAATTTCTCAGGCCACATATCTTGGGAAGTGTGGAGATTGAGTATAGAAATGGCAATAATGCATCTGTACATTTTTTAGTCTTAAGAATCGTCTCGGTTTAAATTTCATCATTATTTGTAATGCTCATTCCGCCTGATGCTATTCTAAATCTCCATTCCAAAATATCGCTTTGAGTAGCTGTCTGTATACAATGGTCTTAAGTGTTAATATTGAACGGAAAATCCAAACGAACACGGTATTATGAGATAATTCTGTATTTTAAGTTCTTTACATGTAAGACTACTTACTTTACCAAAGATGAAAAAATAACAAACATCAGTTTATACTTTTAATCAATAACCAACTGAACGTAACATTTTGAAAGTTTTTTTTATTGAAGTAGATGTTGATGTGTTACCATTACATTATAATCTACTTGAATTGATATGGTTACTAAAGGCTATTACATATCAGCGTTTTAATTCTGTGCGTTACAAATATCTATTGTTATGTTTAGATGTAGGGTTCTTCCTGTAGGTGTTGTAGAGTTTGATCGTGTTGAATGATTGACAAGTTTTTAATGAATTTAAGGTATAGTTTCATTTATTTTATTACAGTACCTGGAGAGTATGTGAAACACGTTTTTAAAACTAGTTTTGTATTTAGCTTTACTATATTTCATACTGTGGATATGTGATAGCCATAATGTTTATGAAGCATTTCGATGTATAGGCGAAACAAGCAAATAATCTACAAAATGCCTTGTCAGTATTGAGATAGGTTTTCTGTTAAGTTTCAAGTGATTAGTTAGCGTGTTACATAATGTTTACTTTTTTAATGTACAAAGGATATGTACATATATTAATGTTAAGTTGTAAAGTTATGTATTTATTTGAATATATCTTTTTTATGTTTTGTTCTTATTTGTGTTCAGTTTTATTTCCTTCACACTTTATTTGTTTTCTTTTTACTGTTTCCTGTGCGTTTAACTATTTATAATGTGCCTAATATGAGTTAGTTGAGGTCCTAAATATACCTGACAGTCTGAGGATATACATATTAGTTGTGTTTTACAGTTTAATATTTTCTAACTAGTGGTATAAACTACATTAAATGAAAATGGTTGTAATATAATTTGTAATGCTTAATCAATTAATTGTTTATAGTTATAGTATAGCCAGTTTTTTATGGTAATGAAGGAATCATAATTTGATAGCTTTTGTGTTAAAATGAATGAACATAATATCAAACTTTATGACTGCTGTTGTAGCAATTCAAATTTTTGAACATACCTATAGGAACGTGTTACTAAGATAACTCATTAGGAAAGGATTTATCGCAAAATGATCATGTAAAAGTTTATTATTGAAAAAAATTTTTAAATCATAAAAATTGAAATGGTAGATTACGGTTACAAACAATTTTAGATTGTCTTCGCTCTGTATTTCTACATTTTCCCTTTTATTCTTTCCTTCCCTTGATTTTGTGGTAGTTCTTCAGTTGAAATTTTTTTACTTGTTCTTCAAGCTTTTTTAGTTTTCAAACTTTTTTCTTTTATGAATTCAAGCACCATCTGATGTTTATTGTAATCAATATCTTACCAATCTGCTGCTGTCCCTATAACAGTCTTTTCGATGCATGTCTTTATTTGGTCCATATTCTATACACTCCTATGCGCAATTGGGTTTACTTGCTTTCTTTCTTCCAAATAATACTATATGTATATTTTATCGTGTTCTTAATTAAAACATTGCTCTCTCTTGTACGTTGAAAGATTCATTCTTTTCCACATACATGTTCTATAATATTTCACAAAGTCTTCCTTAAAAGTTCTCAACAAGATTTTTTTACCTCGGTTCTGAATCTACAAAATGGAATTGGGATTTGGTATTACCATATTGCAGGACTAATTACCAACTTTTCGTCACTAAAAGAGCACCAAATTTATTTAATTTTAAAATTTGGATATTAGTTTTACGTCCAATTTAATTAATGTTGTATTTCTTGAAATAAAATTCACAGTATTTATTTAAAATGTAAAGAAATATACACGGATCCTATTATTGCAATTTAAGTTTCAGTGGCTAATCATAAAAACAGAATAATTAAATGGAAATATTAAACTGTAAAATATCAAGTACGCCACGTAATGCTGCCAATATATAAAGTAGGTACCATATTTTTGTAGGATTGCTCTAGTATGACATTTGAGATTTCAAGCAGAATGCACCGACCACAATTACGCTTACATAGTTGTGTTCTTTGATCTTTATTTTGAAATTATTCACTCACCTTTTTCGCCGATATCGATGCTATAGTACTGAACTATTTTTTTAACAGTTACGCTGTATGGAAATGCAAGTGTGTTTTATGGATCTTTTAATTGATGTATTTGTAGGACATTTTTCGTATTAACATATCTGATGTATTAACAATTGTTACCTAGTAAGTATATATATGTTACATAGATCAAGACAGTTATTAACAATCATAGAAGTATTGACCAACTGAGATACTTTATCAGCTATTTCAAGTACTCGCTAAATGTAATACTAAATAAAAACTAGTATATAAAGTTTAATGTAAATCAATTCTTCCAATCACTGTAAACATGTAAAAAGTTGTTACTTATCATAATGTTGCCATTTATTTCTTCTACATACTAATAATGTTAATTCCCGACAATATTAATTGTGTAATTGTACTCGATGGTAGCATATTACAGTAGAATTGGTTGATCAACTTGTTATCGAAACTTATTACACCCATAGTCTAAGAGATTATGGGGTTAACAATGCCATGTGCTTATGATGTACTTACCTATTAATGTACAGAAATGGCTTGTCTTGTATAAAAGTTGTTAAATGCAGTCTCAAAATGATCACAAATTGTATAATAGTGTCTACTCTTCCTATCCATGTGTCGCTATAGAAAACCAAACATAATATATGTGCCTACTGTACTTTCATAGTCGGTTAAACGTTATTATTTTTCGTACATTATAAATATAAAAATCAATGTTGCAAAAGAAAGCACAGCAACGAGATAAAGGTGCTTAATCTGTATTAGCAGTATTCTGTTCATAAATGTTTTCTCGTTGAAACCATGTTTACAAATTATATGGGAATAATGTATACCTATCTACTTGTACATAATAAGTAATTTGGTTCAATATGTATCGAATTTATATTTTGTAAATCAAGAAAACGAATCCCCAGTAATCTTACAATATGTATGTGCGTTTCACAATGTGTATAGTGTTATTGCTGACAATTCCGAGTGTTATGTTTACATAGATTTATTAAGATAAATGTTGCACGTGTAAATATATAAGCACCCAATTTTTCTTTACTTTGTTAATTCCGAGGTATTAGAATATGTATTTATATTTTTACTTAAATTAGTTAATGTATTTGAACCGACTGAAATTGTTTCGTCATACTAAAAGATTTTTAAGTATATAGCACGCATACAGTCGTACACATGTAATATACATTGTAATATGCAGAGTAGGTTAGCTGCTAATTGTTGGATGTGTAGCTTCATACTCAATGTATTTTTAAAGATTTCATTGAATCATAATGTAAGTATTCGCACTGTCACTAAGTACACATCTTCATCTAATACAGTTATAAATGCTAACATGTTTTTGTATTAATTTTTGCAGTATTATATAAATTGTAATGGTAGGTACATAGTTTGTTATGTGGGAGCTGACTGATTTAAGTACCGTTTAGACGGTTAATATTAATACCAAACTGTATTTTACATCATTCACTTTCATTTTTTAGATCTTTTAGAGGAGTAAGCTATTTTTGATGCATTGCGAGCAAGAGTGCACAGTACTTAAAGGGATTGCAAATTTGAGAAGCATTCATACCCAAGCATAATAAATCCTAATAATAATCGAACGCAGATAACAGGTCTAATTGTTTTTATTATTGTCAATGTCCCTTGATTTTTTAGTACTCTTGCTGGAAAACATAATGGTGAGAACGTATGTTATGGAACCGAACAAACCCAAGCAGGTTTGTACTCATTTTTGAATCTTAAATTCTTTTCATTCAAATTAATCAAACATAATTAATGACTCAGGTCAGTAACGCACTGCGGCAGCCAAACTATGGTAACCAATTTCACACATGAATGTTTACACATTAGGCGGGCTTGAATAAGCAATCCTGTGTGGGATTGGCTGCCACAGTCACGCCTCCTGATGGTGCGTTACGGGTCAGCTTGATTTTTTAATCTGCACCTATTAAATTATTATCCCTCTTATACTGGGCCCTCAACAGGCTTACGCTCAATTACAGAGTGACCAGCATAATGCTTTTTAGAGGTGTCCCTGCAGAAGATCTTCAGTTGTTCTATACTACTCCGGTATTTACCTAACGAATTAAGAAAACCTAACTCGGAGTAGCCAGCAGAATGTTTGAAACAGATCTAAGGAAATTCCCATCTCTGCCATGGATGAAAAATTCTTACCTCGGCCCAGGTTCGACAGAGGAGTGGGGGAATAATGTCTGTCCGACCATCGGTCAAGTCAGTTGTCAACATGGTATTGTTTGCATCTTCAGTGTCGGTAAGAGGGTTTACTTCATACTTATTACATTCTCAAAAACTAGTTGACAGTCTAAATTTTAGTATATAGCTGGTTTATTAAAATAAGAAACGATGCTTACATCATGTGAAGCAAAGAAGACGTCACGATCAGATCATTCAAATTAAAAAAAGCGTAGTAGAATTATTATTGAGAGCCATAAAGACGTGTACAAGGGTCTAAGGGTGGTGAAAGATTGATGAGTTTTTCGGAGATTTGTTTTTACGTCTAAAATGGAAAATTACAATCTTGACTACTTTGAAATCTTTTGAATTTAAATCCCGGTACGTACCCAACGATAATATAATCTTGGCAAAGTATAACTTTCTTTGAAATCAGATGAAGTTGATGTGATTTACTCGAAAACCACAAGTCATAAAAATTTTAATTCAGCATCATCAGAAAGTTGAGAAAAAATTAGTACAGCTTTGTTAACATTATTTTTTGATATCTTTGAAAATAAATGATTGTCAGCGCATTTTCGAAACTGAGATTTTTGGTTTTTTAGTCATAACTTCGCTATACTAGTAGAGCTAGAAGAAACTATGAATAGGAAAATTAATCAGCATACAGTTCACTCATAACTTTTCCTATTTAATTGAATTTGTTTTACGGTTTACGAGATCCTAACAGTGAAAATTAAAAAAATGTCCAGCGTTGCCCCCCCTACTAAAGAGGCGCCCGGGGCGGACCGCTCCCCCTACGCTACGCCACTGATTCTGAATGCTATTGGTATCGAATGTTTCGACTCATTTAGAAGGAATTTTGATCGTTTTTATTCCTTTGAAACTGTATTGTCATTTAAATCATAAATGAGCTAAATTTTGTTAGCCATAAGTTACATCATTACTGTCGTTAACCTGCACCAAAAACAAGAAATTTGGGCAAATCGGTTGACTTTATAACATACACGCCAGTGGCGTACGCAAATCCACGCATATATTTCTGCGAATAATAGGGGTAGTGAGGAGAGATATTTTCTAAGAGTAAAAAATAAGAGAAGAGAATATAACGGTGGTGGGAAATAGCATAACACGCGACGGAAGTCGTCAAAATATCACTTCCTTTGCGCTGGTCAATTATGTCGACTTGACTTATCATAAAACAGAAGAGACGATGTCAGCTGTGTTTTATTACACCACTGCCAATAATGATGCGTTTCTCCCCACTCTTCTCGCACTTTTATCACTTCCTTTTTATCCATTTCCGTCAAGTCCCCTTTTAATGCAAGGTTCTCTCCTTTTATTTTTTACTCGTAGGTTATTTCATTCAACTATGAGGACTTTCCTTTGCGTATTACTTAATTATATAACTGTTGTAATT